CCTAAAACAAAAAATTATATTCATTATCCCAAACATGCTGTCCATAAAAACAAAATACATGGTTCTACTTCCTCTTCGGATCGAAGGGAGTAGATTCAAAGGCATCCACTACAGTAGGACTTGGGGTAGGAGGAATTGAAGCCGCAGGGGCAGAAGAGCTAGGAGTACCCTTTAGATGCGCCTTCACCATCTCAGCAAAGCGGATTTCAGCTTCCAAAGCCTCTGGCCCTTCATCATATGGGAAGTGCACCCCCACCTGCTTGTCAAAAGCGTCCGGATCCATCGTCCTAGGGCCTGAGCCCTGATTATAGCCAGACCGGAACGCTTTAGCACTAGCCAGGTGTGCCAGACAGGAGTAGCGCCCCTGCATTTGCTTCCCCGCCTTGAAGCAAGTAGTAAGAGCCTCGGTCAGGCGTTGAACTTCGGCCTGAAGAGAATCCACCTTAGCCTCAGAGGCTGACAACTGCCTCTTATACGCATCCTTGGCTTCAGAAGCTATCTTCAGATTGGTAGAGGCGGTGGTGGCTCTCTTCTCTGCATTGTCAAGATCCTTTTCCAGCTTCTTGATGGACAGGGATTGGGCTTCAGCAGTGGCGCAGAGGGCCATGGTGTGGTATAGACTCTGGATAACAGAGGAACAAATATGAGCATAAATGGAAACATAAACAAGCAAGAGTAATATAATTCTGAAGGAGTAATGTGAACCTCTATGGCCCGGACCGGGGCAGAGGGGAGTAGTTGTTCCAACCCCATTTGGCTGATGGTTTCCTCGTCCTTTGGGAGCCACATCCCTCGAGCCACCGCCAGTGCAGCTGAAGGGTCTGTAATCACAGAATCCCCTGAGTGCAGGACTGACTTATCAGCCCTAGAGAAGGAAGGAGTCTCAGGAGCCCCAGTCTCAGCCAGAACAAAGGCCCTGACTTCATCTTCAGGTTCGGCCTCTCCAGCCTTTTTCCCTCTGCTTTTAGAAGGGACCTTGCCCTTGCCAGAGGATGGGCGGTTGAGGCGAGATTTCTTCATTGGTGGTTCCTCAGCCTCCACCTCATCCTCAGTAGATCTAATAACGACCAAGGGTTGGGCATCTTCGGCTTTCTTTTTTAACGCCTCAGCCCTCCGTATCTCCTCCTCAGTCATGGGGAAACTGTCAAAGGATGGTAGAGACAGATCCACGAGGTCTGCAGCAACAGCACTGGAGGCAATGTCCTTGAGGTTTGAAGAAGTTAGCAGGTCCTCGATAGGCGAGGGGTCACTCCAGACTCGTTCCTCAAGAAAAGAAAGTCTGTTCCTTGCTGCGGAGGATGGGAATGTAGCTGAAAAAACACTAAGAAACTCATAAATACGGTGAAACATTAAGACTTGGCAAGGAAAACAGCCAGAACACTTGGTATGAAGGGAGGTTAAATATTCTATACCTAATTTCCCGAACTTGCGCGGGATGGGGAGCGTAATTGATTGGGACACGAACCATTTTCCTTTAACTATAACCATCTTTTCTTTCCATTTCTTTTCGGATGAAGGAAGGTTCGTGCATATCCTCTAATGAAGGGGAGAGGTAAAAAAGAAGCGACCAGGCTCGGTCCCATGCTTAGATATATTGTAAGTAAGCAGAAGGTCGGCAAGGGTCAAATCCAAAGCCTCTAATTTCCGGCGCACCAACAGTGCCGAAAGGATGCGAAAGAAATTAGGATTTACCTGAAGGGGGGCAAGACCTACCTTGTTGAAAACTAAATGATAGAAGGGATGAAGAGGGAATCGGAGGGCGTTAAGATGCCCTACCGAAAGAAGCAATTCATTCTCCTCAATTCCCTCGCCGGAGGTAAAATCGGCACCCTCGGGATATTCTGCAAGTTCTACTCCCTCAGGAATATCAAATTCTTCCATTACCGAAGCAATAGAGAACTTGATGCGGCGAATAGAGATGGTTGCTTTCCTCTCTTCATGAGTAAGAACATAATCAGAGCCTGAGGTGGATGTCTCGGCTGGAAGGGGGGAAGTACCTAACGGATTCAACGAAAGACGATCTGTAGAAACCCTAGGAGGGGGAGCCCTAATGCGAACGGGGGAAGATAAAGGTGTGGATTCAGAATCCCCAATGTCTATACGTTCGGGAGTAGATGAAGTACTCATAATGAAAGATTGAAGAGAAAGATGCGAAACTAACCTAACAAAGCGATGGAATGAAGAACGCAGAAGTGCAGCAAGGGCGAATGTAACTCTTGCAAAATCTTGTATGACAGAGTAATAATGAAAGACCTCGAACCGATTCTGAAGCAAAGTAAAAAACCGGTTTCAATTCCCTCTTTAATAGGAGCCGTCACTCAATTAAAAATGAAATTTGGGGCAAAGTGTGGAGGGAAAAAAACTCCCTCCAATAAAAAGCGCACACGTCACCACTACACATATCTATATTCCAAGGACATATAAGGCCCATCATGCTCAAGCCCAAATTGAGGGTATTTACAGCCCAAGACCATCGTTATTTGTCCTCTAACCTTCATCAAGGCCGAATCAAGAGGTCATCAGCCCAACTTGTTAATATTTAACATCCGGTCCGTTACTCAAGCCCAGCCGGATCAAAATATGTTCAGCCCAGTTATTCAATAATGCACAAGTCCTACCAGTTGAAGGATTTACTGTAGAAGGAAAATTCTGAGATAGGAAGTTCTATACAAGGCAAGTAATACGTATAGAAAGTTATACAAGGGAAAAGCTCTATTTGTAAAGAAACTCTGTATAGGAAGAATTGGAGGACAAGCAATGCGAGTCCTACCTTAATTCGACCACCCTTTTATGTATAAATAGGGGCTCAGACCTCCAATAAAAGGATCAAGTAATTCTACGCTTCTCTATACACTGTTCTTATTTATTCTTATTGTTTTTTGAGTGTGTTGTTTTATTTTTCTCAATCATTATTGGTTGAGTGAAATTTTGCACCTGCAAAGACAAAACCCTTTGTTGAGCTTCACCCAATTGAAGAACTTCAAAGCTAAATGTGGCACTTTAAAGCACCTCTTCAACACTTTGTCAACAATCTCAGTATCAAACTCAAAACCCGCACTTCCTAACCGTACCTCCATGGAAACTGCAGAATCTTCTGCACGTACAATCTCTGTAACCTTATGAACTATTGGACTAACATCACTTACACCCATATTTTTCAACTGGGTGGCTTCCAAAACTAATGCATCGGCCTTCCCTAGCTCCACATTATCCTTGGCATTCTCACAAACACGTTGCACGCAACATGGGTATTCTTCCTTTTCCTCGGTATCCTTTAAATGGGTTTCTTTAGATACTGAAAACGCAGATGATCTGTCATCCAGCATAAGGTTTCCAGCCCCTAAAATCTCAGTGATGTCATGGAATAGTGAATCGAAGTTTTGGGTTTCTGTCTGGTTTTTCTGGTGTGTTTCTCCACTTTTCTTGGAATTGTGAAGTTTAGATGCTTTAGAGAGAGATGAAAGACCAAAAGTTTGAAACTTGGAGACACAAATTGAATTTAAGGGTCGGAGTTTGAACAAATACCTCATCCTTTTCTAATAGTTGGTGGCTGTGAATTGGCAGCCCTCGCACATTGATGTTGATTATACTCTGTATGAAGAAAAGCGTCTTTGTGGTTTACTTGAATATCTTATTCTGATACAAGGAAGCAATGTAAAAGAATTAATTTCATGGTCTGTTTCTATTAACCGACAAAATATTTTAAAAAAATTCAATTAATATTTTCTAAACACCAAAAATGATAAAAGAGTCTATGGATCTTATTAGTAACTTGTGTGTTCATTATTTATTTATCTACTGTTACTAAAATTCTTTGGTGGACACTCAAAGGGGGAGTGGAGCAAAAAATTCATTACCAAGTACAAGAATATTAGTATTAGTTTACAAAAATGATAGCCACTTTGTTAGATGGGAGTTGAGCAAAAAATTCATTATCAAATACAGCATTGTTCTACAAAAATGATTGCATTTGACACGTGAATTCTTCATGTTGTTATAATAATAAAAATAAATAAATAATAAAAAATAAAAACTGTAGGCTAATTAGAATAATAAAATACTTATTGTTCTACCTTTTAAAATTACACTCTCTTTAACATCTTAAATTTTTGAAGTAAATGATTAAATTGAAAAAGTACATGTTAGATCAAAAAAAGATCACACATGAGGGGACGTTTTGAAAAATATAAATATTAAAATTACACCTTCTCTAACATCTTAAACTTTTAGAATAGACTTACCACTGTTCCTGTAATTACATGATATATAAATAAGTCCATTTTTCTCTCTCTTTCCAAACAGAATATAAGAGTCACATATAATGATTAAGAGTTAGTTTTTCACATATAAAGGGTTACTTTCCTTCTCATTTGATTAGATAAAAATGAGAAGGAAAGTTAATATTGTGTTTAGTATATAAAAATAAAATAAAATAAAGTGAAAAATGAAAAGATTTTGAGCTACTTCAAGAGTTATCTGAAGTCCACTTGGTTCAAGTATTGTGCAGCAGCTATAAGACGAATCTTTAGAGACTGGAATGACTCGCCTTCATGCTATCTTCGTCGTCCGCCTCTAAGACTGTCGGATTGAGCTCTCTTTCTGCATTCTTCTCTCTAAAAGTTAGGGTTTGTTACTGGATTTGTTGGCTGATAACCACCATTAACGGTTTCATTAGGCGTTAATTATGGTTTTTAGTTTAGGTTTTGGACAGGGCTTCTCTTATTAGGGTCTTCTTTTGGATTGGGTTTACCTCTTTCTTTGGGCTATTTGTGTTCTGCCTATTTGGGCTGCTTTGGCCCAAGGCCTACCTGTAATTATTCTGTTTATTTACATCAGTTGGTTAATATTTCGGTAAAAAAAAAACAGTACCAACTAAAGGAAAAAAATTTGGAGCCCACGAACTTCTTGCACAGTAATTTTATTTTGTAATATTTCCAAATAAAAGGAGATTATGTTTTACACTTATCTTTTCTTTTTTCTCAAGTTATTTCTTTTATTAACCACCGAACACCGCTAAACGAGGTCAGTAGCGGTTCGGTTTGTAGAAGAAGAATTGGGGATTGTGCGGGAAGCAAGAGGGTAAAGATGGGTTGGGTGTGGAAGGACGATGATGAATCCGGCGATTCCCCAAACGGCGATATCGAAGCCTCTTCGAACCCTAGTAGTTATAAAGACCGATGCTCTACCAGAAAGATTCTCAAATCGCACTGTAAAACCGAAGAGGTGGAGCCTGGAAAATTCCTCAGAAAGTGCGAGAAAACCGAGCAGATCCTCAAGGACTGCTTTGGAAGGTAACTTCACTTTCTTTGTGAAATTCATATATATATATATATATATATATATATATATATATATTGCTTTATCTCTGTTTGATTGCTGAGAAAATGTCGTAAAACAATATAAATTTGTGATTTTTTTCCAAATTGAAAAACTCCGGATTTTTTTTTTTTTTTTTGCTTATCCATGAACTGATGGTTAAAGGAGACTTCCACGCTTCTTGGTTGATTTCATATTCTCTTTGTGTTAATTTCCTCTTACTCCCGCGCGAGGATCTCATTGTGAAAATCATTATCCCATCACAGCAGCACAGCAGGATACAATCCATAGGCGGTTCGCAGCGGTCGCTAAGGATATAATATACAAAGAGAGTGGATCCAAAAGTGCATCGTATGTTAAGGATCTCTCATCCGTTGTTTGATTACGACATCCCAAATTAGGGATTCATAGAAGCAAAGCCCTTGATTTTATATATAGGAAGCAATCTTTTGCCCAGAGGCCAACCTCACTGGTAGTTTAAGTTATCATTAATCCCAATTCATTAATCCTAATGAACTCTATTGGACTGAGATTAGTAAAAGAGTAAAATAAATATTATAACACTCATTTATGTCAAATTTAGCGGGATAATTTTGCACAATTTCAAAATATTAAGAACGTTTATTACACAACTTATTTTTCAATTGGAGAATAAAAGTGCTACAAAAAGTATCGTGAACCTCTTTCTCAAATCATAAAGATTGAGGCACAATTTACAGTAAAGATTTGTCTTTGCAATCAGAAATATAAACAGTGTCCTTTTGGCTTTTTACCCTTTTGACAACTGATTTAACACTTTGGAGTCATTACAGAATTTACAGTGTCGCGAAGGGGAAAGACACATTTCAACCTGAAAGTAGCTGAAGAAAGCAATCCTATTCCTACCCGATACTCTTAAAGCTCTTTAGACATCTTCTCTCTCTCACTCTCTTCTCTTCCACTTCCAGCTACACTGTGTCCCACAATACCACCACCAATTCAACCCTACAAGTAAAATCTACAAAGGGCTCAGTAAACAAATTCTCTGTGTCTGCCTGCTTTCAGCAATTGCATCTTACAGCATCATTTAGCTATCCGAGAGGAGATCAGAATGAGGGAAGATATATTTTTCACCCACTCAATACACGGTCACACAGTTCATCGCGTCCACCTCCAAAACACAATTAGGATGATGATTGTCAAAACCATGCCAGCATATTTAATCCATTGATCAACCCGATTCCTCCTCTCAATGAGCCTCAATACAGAATTAGATAGCCCCAGTGTGTTCAGTACATCCAGTGCTTTCCGTTGCGCACCCTGCACCAAAATAGGACTTACTTTAATAAGGTCTTTACCAGTTTCAATGCTTACCAAAAAATGTCACTTCTAGAAGTAATATCCTTTTATGTTTCACCGTTTACACCACTCTCAGAATCCAACAGTCTCTCCTATTTTATGTTTAAAGTATGTGTTACCAGCATTGGGATAAAGAGTAGAGTAAAAGTTGAAACCAGTGCACCTTCATGCCTATTGCAATACCAAAGTCTAAACATTTGTTATAGATAATGTAAGGCAAGTAGAAAACTCGAAGAACACTGGCATAGATTATGTTATGACAACTCTACCTATCCATTAGAATTTAATTGGATGACCCTTATATACCGTCAATTTAATACTGGAACTGGAATGCTAAAATGGACTATTGACCATGTGATATATTTCCCCAGCAATGCTTAAAAGGTTTCAAGTTTAGATCCCAGATTCCTTGTTGGGAAATCTAATGTTGTGGTACTACCACTATAGAGTTTCCACACTCACTACAAGTTTGGAAAGATATCAGGCAGACTGGCAAAGACACACACGTGTGTCAATGTCATTCGAGAACGTTGTAAGCTCTGTACAGTTCCGAAATCCCTGTACAAAGAAAGAATCTAAAATGGGCGTTTCCCTGTAGAATACCCAAATCCCAACATTCATCAAAATTAAAAAGAAAGGGGAAAAAAAAGGCAAAGGATAGAGGTTCAAAAACAAAACATAGAACAGGAAACAAACATAGAAAACACTGTTACCAATTATATCAGAATGAATTATTCTTAAAATTTAATTGCCTCCTACAACAGTCCCAATTGCAGGCTTTCAATCTAATGGAGTTGGGTACCAATCACAATATATATTGCCACTATGGTGAAGGTTGGCTCCTAATCTCAAAGAACCTTCTTGAGAAGTTTATAGTATGTCACCACCACTTAGGTTGCCCCGTAATAGAAATCCTATAGTGGATATAACCTTGCAATGCTGGAATCTTGATGCACAGTAAAACATAAATTTATATAAATGCATAGCAGTTGTTTGATTCCAGATACCTTCAAGCGCTCCCTTTGTGTGTGATATTGGGCAAGGATGGCAACTCCAGTTGCATGAGATTCTTCCAGTATCCTGGAAGAGTTACGGGCTGACTGCATTGCTTGTGCTTCCTCATCAAAAATTCTCAATACATGAGAGGATTCCCCATTCTGTAAAATATAACAAATCCATTATATGGTTTAGTAAAGGACTACAAAAGACAAAACATAGAAAAGCTTGCTGCTAATCCATCAAGGGGAGAAATAATAACTTACGGCTCTTCCAAGCAATTCTGCCCTCTCTTTAGCTTCTTGCACCCGTCTCTGATTCCGTAAAAAATACTTATCCAGGCTATCTGTCAATAAGTCAGCCTCTTCAGCTACTTGTTCCACTTTTCTGTGCGTAAAAAATACATAAAATATTATCGCATCAAGTACAAATACAAGACCATCAAATTGCATTAGCAGTTACAATATAACATAGAACCGATGTACAGAAGAACTATTTATTCTTGAATTAAAAAAATAACCATAAGAAACTAACAGTGACTATAATCAGTGTATTTGTGCTGCTGAAAGATCACTTCAATAGATTTAATTTTTCGAAAACCAAGAATTGTATGGTGATGTTAATTGCCAAGCAGTGGTAGCAACTAGTCTCCCACCACTTTTTTATTTTCCACACATTTGAAAATGTGCCAATTTCCATATTCAAATTTGAGCGCAATTTTCAAATTACAATCCCAAACAAATAACTGAAACAAAATTTCAACCTTTAAATATTACCATACAATTGAACACGCATCAAAACATAGAAAAGAGACATCACTAGAATTGAACCTCCACCAGAAAACTAAAACTTGACAAATTAGAATTAATAAATTTCAAATGACAATAACTAAACAGATAAGTGAACCACAAATTCCAAAAATAAAAAATAAAATCAAACGATTAATAAATAAAAATTCAACAGAGAACGCACCAAAACAAGATCAATCATGTGATTAATTGATATCCAGAAACACATAAAAGGATATATATACATAAAGGATATAGATAATTAGAAGTGAACCTCCTCTAGAGATCGCGCTGAGATTTGGTTGCGACGGACCTCCACAAGCGATCCATATCGGCGCATAGTGATTGGATCTGAGCAATGTCCCTCTTGACGGCCACTGAGAGTTCCGGTGAATCGAGGCTGTTCGACGACGAGAGCTCCAACCTCTCGAGCCTCTCAAGACCGTCTCTGGTCCTCAGCAAGAGCTTCTTTGAGTTTTGGTAAAGCTCCGATAATGTCCCCCCTCCTTCCACAGCCATGGCGGTTTAGAGAGAAAAAATGATAAGGACTATTTTACAGAGAGAAGGGGTTTGGTATGGAGTTTAATTTCAGGTTTTTTTTTTTTTTTTTGTTTTTGTTTTTTCACTGATTGGGTTCGTACGGAACTCTGGTCGGTCGGATCCTCCGATTTAAGTTACATGCCACATCGTGTTGCAATAGTAGTTTGCCACGTTAGAACCCTATTGTGTTTGTAATGACGTTTAATAATAATTATTTTTAGAATAATTTAAATAGAGCATTATTAACTTGAACCAAATTTATTTAGACTAATAAATAAAGCATTATTAACTTGAACCAGATTTATTCTCAAGGGTGAATTTTTTTCCCTGTATACTCTTCGTTGGACTTTGTCCCCTATTTTAAACGTGTGTTTAAAACTTTTATAATGTTTAAATGTTGTGTTAAAAGTAAGGGTGTAACTTGGGTTAGGTAATTCGAGCTCGTCCGATTTTTTTTGAGTTTGGACAATTATTTTTATAGATAGGGTTGGGTTTGAGTTGAAAAATATCAACCCGAATTTAATTAAAGTTGTGCTTAGATTGAGGTACTAGCAACCTGAACCCGAATTCTAATATTATTTGTATATATATATTTTTTATTTTAAATACATTATATATAATATTTAAATTACGATTAACTTTTTGTTAAATCTTAACTTATTGTATGTTAACATTTAAGATAATTAATTTTTTAAGAATTTGTTTGTAATTTATTGAAAATTTATAAAATGTCTTTAAATATTTTTTTTAAAGTAATTTAATTAAAAACTAATTCCAAATCATATTAAATTTTTGATGTGAAGATTAGTTATATGAGTAACTTGAATTCACCTCAATTTTTAATATGGAATCTAAGCCCGAATTACAAGCCCGAATTTAAAAGTAGAATGATGGGTTGGTCTTGAGTTGAGTAGTTAGAGTTGAAAATAGGGTTAGGTTGAGCTTAGGTTTAGTATTTCATATAATGGGTTGGGTTCAAGAAGTTGTGATAAGTCAAGAGATGAGCAGTTACGGGAGTTTCGAAGACTAAACTATTCCGGTGAGTCTAGCTGACCACTAGATCATGAGAACACACGAAAAAGCTTCTTCAACTCTTATCTCCGTTCATTCAAGTCCAGGTGAGACACGAAAACTTCTACATCAGTGTTCTATCCAGAGCAGCAGCAACGACGGCAACCTCCAAGTCCACAACCGTGCCAGGTTGTTGAAGATTTGTTGACGGAAGGGAGTACCGCGTCTGAGAAGATTCCCACCGGTTGATGGGTGTATATATCTGTTTTTCGAGTCAAACTAAGAGATGAAAATATCTGGGAATACCACTAAAACAATACAAGGAATACAGAAGAGTGAATTAAGGGAGAGAAAACCAGTCCAATATGAGGACTGAAATGATGGTAGAGAAGATGGAGTCTAGAGTATTGTTAGAGCCCGAATTACGTGTGTTCATATCCTTCTTGCCTTTGCCACCTTTTTTAGCCCTAGGTCATTCAGGTTGTACATGTTGGGCCTTCGAATAAGATGAGTCAAGGCTCATGTTCCTTTATGGATCATGATGCCCTAATCCCTGTTTTTTCGGTTATGTCGCCAGGTGTACATCTTTCCTTGAATGACCTAAATAGAGGGTAGCTATAAAGGTCTATGTACTTACTCCAGCATGTCTTTCACTTCTATCCTCAAATTGGGTCCTGCCTTAGCAAGACTTGGCTAATTTTTCATCCTCCATTCCAAAGTCCCTTCTGCATTCCCACTGGCTTCGAAGAGTCCTACCATCACTCTTCATTATTCATTTGACAGGAGGTGGCTTGGTCGAATTGAGGTTCAAGGCCTGTCGATCGACTGTAGGTCTGAGATTTTATGAGTTCATCTTGTTTTTTTGTTGGAGCTCTTATATCGACCAAGTGTTAGTCAATTTTGGCTTCTCGTTTATTCCTTTGAAGTTGACCTTTAGTGACGTCAGATTAATTTGAATTTTGATGACATGGCCTAATTTGTGTCCACAATGGGTTTTTTGAGTTCTTACTTGTACTGGTTTTTTTTTGTGGTCTGTGTTAGAGAGAGGAGAAACAAAGAGCTGCCACGTGTCATGGGTGATGTTGTCGGTGAGTGAGAGGTTTTTAGGAACGACAGTGTAGCGACCCAATTTTGGTTTTGGTTAAGTTTCAGACGTATGGAGCTTTAATGAGTTCTAGCTTCGGCGAGTTTCAGTGTGTTGTTGTGTAATCTTATAGACCCAACTGGTTTCTTCTTGGTGAGCAAACGAAAACCCATAAACAGTGAGAGCTACCCTTTTTAGTTAATTCACAAAATATTAATTTTGTATATATTTTATAAAATGTGTTGTTAAGGTTATTTTAATCTAATTTCTAAATGTGTAAGCAGGATACATTTGCACAAGTGTCATAATTTAAAGGTTTTTTTTTTTTTCCTTTTTCGAATCTAATATGTGAACTTGACTTGTTTTTAAAAAGACCCTGGTAGGTTAGGACTGAAGGAGTATTTTTTAATTAAATTTTAACTAAATTAATTATTATTTAAATCATAATGAAATTTTATCAAATAATTAAAACTTAAAGGAATATATTAAAAATTAGATTATATAATACTAGTTGAATAAATTTATAATTACAAGATTTTACGTCTATTTAGTAAGGCGGTATAAATGAAAATTTTAGTGTCTATAAATTATTATTATTATTTTTTAGTAGGATTTATTGGTTTTTATTTTTTATTTTTAAAAGAACGAAGCGTATTATGTGGGGGCGGCTCTCATTATTATTACTCTCTCTCTAGTTTCTATTTGTGTATGGTTTTCGCCCGACCCGTACTACACTCGTCTTCTTGGGAGGGCTTTCTTTGACTCTTTTTGACTCGGGGAGGGTTTGTACAGTTCTCCAGTCGAAGTACTATTTATTTTCGTTGAAAATGAGGTAAACTCATGTCTTCCGATTTTCATTTAACTTGCAATATTTATTTATTTTTTAATTTCGGTAACAATTCCATGATTTCTGGCAGCTATAGCACTCTACCTCAAAAATGGTACATCACTTGATTTTTTCTTTTTTAATTTCTACTATATTTTTGTCAGTTCATTTTAAGTTTTGAACGACTCCCATTTTTGTGCTGACGTCGAAAGGAAGAAACAAAACAGTGAAAAGATGAACCAAGTATATGAGTTTGTGATTGTTCTCTTCATTTGAAAAGTATGATAGGAATTGAATGATTGTATTATGTTGTTTGTACCATTTAAAATCATTTTATTAAGTATTAGTATCAATTACGTTTGTTTTGAAAAAAAACCCATTTGGAATTTTGATACATGAATTCATATACATTTTTTTTTTTTTATTTGAAACGAAAATGCTTCACAGGCTGGGCCTGTATATCGTGGCTCTATTTTATTTATTTATTTATTATTATTATTATTTTTATCATGATGTCATTTCGAAGATCCAGCTTGATTGTTATGTGTGTGTGAATATAAGGACACTTGGATTGAAATGTGTATGCCAATATACGGCTATGCTTCACTTTGATACTGCAACCATTTTAGCTCGAGCTTCTATTAAGTTGAATTATCACCATTTCAACGGCATCACAAGGAAAATGTATGGCCTTATTAACCACGACCGATTATATTGCGCCTGTGAAAAAAAAAAAACAATAGCAGGAAATTAAAGTTTACTAGTTTAAAAGTAACATGTAGTGGAACTTGTGTTAGTTGTTGTGTAATATCTGGATTTAGATTGATTGCCTGTTTCTGATTTGATTTACGTGAATGATGAAGTCGCCATCCGGAGGTTCTTTGGGCTCAACGTTCTGATAAAGTGTACCTGACCATTGCTTTACCTGATGCAAAAAATGTATCCGTGAAATGTGAGCCTGAGGGGTTATTTAGTTTCTCTGCTGTGGGTGTGCAAGGTGAATCCTTTGACTTCAGTTTGGAACTTTATGGTAAAATTGTACCCGAGGTGAGCTTTTCACTACTCTTTACTAATTTTTTAATTTTTTTCAAATGTTTTAACCTTGATCAATTTTATGTTTGTTTTGTTGTATTCTATGATACTTTTTACTATCTCTTCTTATATGTTTAGAATATATAATTTCATCTTTTATTTTTGATGCAACTCTTATCTTCAACTATGTTACATGGACTTTTCGAAAGTAGGAGAAGTACCCGTGTCGGACACACATTACACGGACATGGGTATGGAATATGTGTCAAACTCTTTTGGTTGAATATGCACCTAAAAAGTATATCATATAATCCAATTTCATTTTATTATTGTTTTAAAATGAGTGAAACGCATAGATTGGATGGTGTGTTATATAAAGATATTATTTTTACCTAGAAAATAGAATAAAAATATTAAATAATATGAATATTTGGCAGTGTCCCTGTATCCTTTTGTTTTCGAATTTGACATGTCTGACACTTGGATACACACCCCTACCCAACACACGTACTCAAGTCCATGTAATATATGTAATCCGAAACCGAATGCCGACCACCTACTGATTTAGGATAGATGCATCAAAAATTTAGAAGTATCAAGATTATGTTGTAGAAAATTTCAAATTTGATTCGGCTGCTAATAAAGATATATAAAATCAGAATCAACTACTAAATTTCTATAACAAAAGATTGGGGAAAATTTAAAGTTTTTGCCAGAACCAATTTTGGTGTTGTTTCACAAAGTGGCAAACTATCACATCTGAAATGCAGGCTTTCTATTGAATGCTTTAGACTTTTCTAACATTTTTTCAAAGTTGCTTTAAGGGCCAGCATCTGAGCCATGGATGGGCTTAAACTAAAATTTACATTGAATTTAGTGGTAACATGAGTGTCACACTGCTAAAGTACCATAGGGGCAAAGGGAAAACACAACTGGCATTATTATGTTTTAGAGATTACTCAGAGATCAATGGTTTAGTCTAATGAGTCTGAGCAATTTAGGATTTTATTTTATATTTCTCTGTAGCATTACTCTACATCCACATTCTGAATCAAAATAAAATGCCAATAACAACTTAAAAAATTGAAACTTTTGTTCCCAACATCAAACTGTTGTTGAAGTTAATATGTGATTGTAAAAGTTGTGAAACACAAACTTCTTTTGCAACAAATGGATGGACTACAAGCCTGCAAAGGACATAATATTTGTTGAACACTTGAGTTTTCCACCAAATCATTAGTAAAGTCTCCATGATTGTTCTGTAATTACTTTTTGAGTTTTTCTTCTCTGATGAAAGTTTTAGGAAATTCATGTGACGCTTAAAAGAAATCATGTTAGCTGTTTATTTTGAAGGTGTTAAATTGTGTCAATCCCTTGTCTTTATGGTCATTTATTTATTTTTTCCTAGTTATTTATCCAGCAAGTTTATTGTTTAAAGCATGATCATTCTTGCCCTGGGGTTGTTAGCTAGTCACATTATCAAGGTTCTTTTGGTTTAAACTTTGAAGGGATAAGATGTACCTCTTTGTAATGGCATGATTACTATTTCCTATTGTTCAGGGCTGCAAAACTAACATTGGGTTAAGGAACATACCATGCTCAATTCAAAAAGAGCAGAAGGGTTGGTGGAAAAGAATATTGAAGTCTGAAGAAAAACCTGCTCCGTACCTTAAAGTTGATTGGAACAAATGGTGTGATGAGGATGAAGAGTCGAGCAGTTGTAAGTTTATATAGTGTCTTATTGGTGTTTATATATGGGCCTTGCTCCCGAAGTTTATATAGTCTCTTATTGGTGTTTATTTTTAGCCTTTCTCCCAAAGTTTATATTGTCTTCTCGGTGGTCATATTTGAGCTGTTTTCCCGTATGACAAGAGTTTATAAACCACAACAAATCATGAGAATTTATATTATAGATAGATTTTATACTTAGTTGTGTACTGTGTTTTCTTCCATTTTGAATACTTGAAGCATCTTGCATTATCTAGAGTATTTTATATGATCATTTTCTCTGTTACTCCTTTCTGTCAATGAATTTTGTGATAGTGACGTGGTTATTAGTTAAGTGGACACGTACTAAAAACAATTTCTGGGTTCTCCAAAAATGTATTTGACAAATGAAATACGCAAACGACCTGCTTATTCTAAACATGGCTATTTGCTTATGATCTCGCATGACCTTTGTCCATTGATTGTATTCACTTCTTTTTAATGTTAAAGAAATCACCATATTGATATTTTCTAGAAACAGAGTTTCCCTTGTACGCTACTTCTCTATTTCATCTTTTATTAACTTAAAAAACATTAATGCAATACCTTATCCACTTCAAATGGTCTTTTTCTTTTATAAAAGAATATCCGACTTGATATCAGCTTGTCTATTTTCTGTATTAGTGCAACCCCGAAAAATACCGACCTCCTTATACCCATTTTTGGTACCTCGCTAAAATGTAAATAGACTAATGTATACCTAGAAAACCTAATGAAGCAATTATCATTAGTTTCTATAGGAAATGGAACTTTAAAAGTTCCTCGATTACCGACTACTTGCTCTACCTTAAAATGCAAATATTCCAGTTTTTAGAAAATTTCTTTGTACCCTTGGTACTGATGTCTTCTCATACCAACACAAGACATCAGTAGTTGTTCTTGCAAGTTTGACCTCTCCCTTTATCTGTTAAAATGGTGCCAATTCCCCTCCCCAGAAATGCCACATAACACAAATGGGAATTGCCTCCTAGGTGGTCTTCTTCCTCCTACTTCTCCAACCCCTTCTCCAACTATGAAGCAAATCTGGCACCGTCTGGGAGATACAAGAATGCAATCAACACCAAAATGCAGAACCAAATCTCTAGCCATTTTGCAATGATTTTAGGAGGTGATCCACTCGTTCCTGTCTTGCTTACTCATGTAACACCACCTTCACCAACAACAACCACCAAGCCTTTTCCCAATTATTTGGGGTTGTCTACATGAATCCCATGTTTTCATTCCGCTCTATTTAAGGCCATGGCCTCAGTCAATCCACTATTGGTCATGGCAAAGGTTTATGCCGGCTGCCAAGCTACTTAACGCAACCCTTCTCCTTTATTCACTATTGCTTACCCACGTAACACCAATTAGGTATAAATTTACACCTTGACAATATTTTAAAGGGAGTCTTAACCTTGCAAATACTTTTATAAGGGGATCCCCCCTCTTAGGACCTGACCAAGTAGCTGTAAAAAGATTTCACATTGAATTTACCATTGCTTCCGCCCTCCTAAATTCCACTCTGTAGAAATGCTATAAGAAATCCATCCTCGAATCTCTCCTAATACTTTATGATCCACAAACCAGACATCCGAAGAGCAGTTTATTCCTGCCAAGTGTGTGGAAGTCAGCAATTAAATAGCCTAAACCATTGAGAGAGAGCCTCCATCAAAGAGCCCTCTCCATGCAAAACATCTAATATAAATTTAGTCCTCCCTCATCCCGTACTCAAAAATCAATGTTTGCAGTGAATTCCTCATCCCCACCTAATGCTCTTGTTGACACCCATCTCCTGAGGTCCGTTACTTTGTAAACCAGTCCACTGAGGTGTCCCCATATTCTGAGGCTGCCACCCAACCCTATCCTATGCCACAGGCCATCATGTTTAAGGCATATTTGTACAATTACTTCCATAACAAAGCATGGTTACTCCTTTAGACATTTTATCCACAAAGCACCAACTTGAACTGGAGAGCTAATAATTGGGAAAAATGTATTTAGAACTCCTCCCCTTTACCCCAAAGAAATCATGCTCCTACCTCTCTTAACTTTTTGGCATTGAGACAGAGATGGTAAAAACTTGCGAGTCAATATCTCTCCCTTGGATGGTACTGTCTCTTCGACCCACCTGCCTCTTTTCGAACCTCTCACAGTACCCCAGACTGCTTTTGGATCTGATGGGAGAACCCAGTTGCAGTACCAGGAAAGGAGATATGCCACTCTACAGCCCAGAACAGTACTGAGACCCTCATTGCCACTTTAAAGCCCTTTTGACCAAGTAAATTAGCTTGACTTTGAAGCATTGTTGGTCCCTGTTGATTAAAGATATTGGGAGGGACGGAATAGGCACATACCTAACTTTTTCCCTTATTTTTATAGAGTGGCTGCCCAAGTTGTTGCACCAAGGAATGCCTTTCAATTTTGCTGGAGTACCCACGACACACACACACACACACATGTATATAGAATTACATATATCATGTCATACTTGTCCAAGTACCTCTTTGTATTCTAAAGCTGCAAATCTGACCTGTGTAAGAGAAATGCTTTTCAGTACTATTTAGTCCAGTTGAAAAGTAAGAAGGGTTTCAATACCATATAGTTGGTCACCTCTCTACCTGTTAATGAGAAATTATTGGATATTGAGGTTGATTCTCTCCTTTTTGAAAAATGTTAGTTACTTAAATATTCCTTGATTATACTTGGGAAAAAAAAAATTTCCTTGAATATCTATCTGTGATCCTGTTTTGTTTTCTTATGGATAATCCTACTTGCTTTGTTGGTTTGACAATAAGAATTGCATCCCAGACCCAATATTTCAATGGCTGAAGTTGCAGTGATCATATATTTGATTCCATCTATTCTGTAGAATTACTCAATGTTGTAATGGCATGTGAACTTAACATCAGAATTTTAGTTTCTATTGCCAACAATTCACTGGATTTGACTTGTAGATTTTGTGTTATTTGCAGCGGATTTTGCCTGTGATGATGATGTGGCGGTAATTTGATCCCTTACTAAACACTATGGATAGAGGTGCAAAAGACTTGTCATTCTATCATTTAATGTGACTTCTCTCTCTATTGCAGTGCACTGGTGAAGATGATGGGAGCGGTGATGATGAAGGAATGCTTTGTGAGTCCCAAAGTTTTTCTTTGCTATCGGGCTTCCATAATTAATTGCTTTGTGGAAATATATTTGCTGGTTTTTTAATGAATGCAGGGAATTTGATTGCATTGTTGTGCACATTGCTCAAGACTTAACTGTCGTCCAAATGTTTATTAATTAATGTTGAAATATAGGGACGTAATTTTTTACAAAAAGTTTCTTCTTATATTTATTTATGTTACTATCATCATTATGGTCTAGACATATGGAAAGAGAACGAAGATTAGTGTACAAACAATTTATAATTCTGCTATCTTTTTTCGCTTTCTGTATGATTGTTATTAGATCATTCTAAGACTGTTTTAATTGAAAGCATATTTGAGAACAAGTTACGTAATCTAAACATTGTTGTGTGGAATATTAAACACGTAATATGATTCTCTATTTGTTGGCGCCCGTGATATACCATTGTTATATGTTTGTTGCTACTGTCTTAGCTTTTCTGTATAGCTTGCTTGCTAATTTTACCCTGTTAAACATAATTTATTGCAGATTTTTAGTTGTCTTACTTTGTTTATTTCTGACATACATTACAGATCTTCCTGACTTGGAGAAGGCCAGAGGAAACTAACAAGAGACGAAGTGCTAGAGTAACATGATGATGATGGAGTTTTAACCTTTGATAAAATGTGAACTGTGGTCCTCTCTTTACTTTGTATATATATCTGATCTAAGTTGTGGGTATGGACAGTAGGGGCTGAAATTTGATTTTCAGTCTTTTGGCATGTAAAACTTGAATGTCTTATTAGAGACTATCTTTTAGTACGCTTGAGGTTCTTGAGACTACGGTGACAACTCTGTAATATCACTGAGTATCATTCAGTGGCCTTCACCTCTATTTCTGGGTTTAACTACAGTATTATTCTAAATGAAATTTTGCCCTGGATTGGTTGGAAATATCACCGACGTAAATTGCCTTTCCCATTTTGTATCACATCCAAGTTGTCCAAATGGAAAATTATGGAGAAGTGAGGACTATTTTTTATTTATTTATATTTATAGAAGAGAGAACAATCTGGAGGATGAAGATGAATGGAAGGAAAATGTAATCTAATTCGCTGGCAATTTCAGCAACCCTAGACCAAAATTTACGCATTCCTTAATTTTGTATTGCTTTTAATAAATCAATGACACTGAATATTGTTTCACTTTTTCAGTATATATATTTATACCCGAAATTTAATTAAAAATGGGTATAGTTCTATGCCATTTTTTACATCGTGCCGGTCAGGTAAAGGTTGGATTTTTTCCCCTAGTTCTAAGAAATTATTATTTGTATTCATGGGATTAAAATTTAGAGTAAGATATCAGACCTATTTGACTTACCACAATTACTGAATCTATTTCATGATGGTTTTTGCTAAATGCTATTTGACTTATCACAATTACTGAATCTATTTCATGATAGTTTTTGCTAAATGCTAACTGAATTGAATTAGAATTATGATAAAAATCCTTTGTACCAAAAAAGATGTTCGGTTTGAAAAATCATTGTGAGTCACCTTTCTCCAAATAAGACATTATTTTTAAATAATTGAATCAAGGTTTTTCAAACAAAATATTTTTTTGGAAGCGAGAGTGTGAGATATATATGAATATAATCATATAAAGTTAATTTATTTAATTTTTATTACTACATAGTACAAGGTTTGGTTGAATGGAATTTTCAAGTTAGTTTTTCCGTCATATTAAAAAAAATTAAATTAATTTTAGTTGTAAATCAGCTAAGCAATCAATCATTATGTAACGGCTGAAATGGTTAACGGCGTTACAGAAGCCACACGCTTCGAGTGACCGTCGGTCACCGTCTTCATCACATAATAAAATATCTGAAACTTGTTGGGAAGTCATGCCTTTCAGCCCATTCTGTCGCTGGCATTAGCAGCATCGGACTGATGACGATGTACTCCGATGCCTCTTCTACGCTGGTTCGTCTTAACATCGGTGATTGTAGGTATATATATTTTTCGCTTCCTTGAACTTCGATGTGATTATACTCTTCGATATTTGTGTGGATGCTTGTGATGTATTGAAATGACTTTGGATTGATGATAAACGAAGCGAATATACTAATCTGGCAAATTATAACGAAAAAATGGATCAATCAGCAAAAAAATTTCAGCATTAGGAAACCTTAGTTTCATAATTTGGTAAATTTAATGGCGTTCATGTCAGATTCTCTCTCTGTATCTCTTTTTCCCTTACTTACCTTGCGCGCGCTGATACATATATGCATTAGTATAGAGTGAAGGCCATAAGCAATAGACTCTTCATGCTAAAATTTGTGTGCCTGGCTCGTGGTTGCCAGTTCTTTTCTTTTATGTATAATTAAATCGTACTTAGGAAAAAGGAAAAAAAAAAAAAAAAAAAAAGAAAAAGAATTAAATATGGCAGATTACAACAAAAAATGAGATCAATCAGCGAAAATTTTCAGCATTAGATAAGCCGTACTGTTCATAATTTGGTAAACATATGTGAGAAATCACCAATCACCTCCTCTTGGAACCCAGCATACTTGCTAGCATGATCCTTATGGCCTTGTGCATGTTCTTCCCACGTTTGAGTTGGGGATTGGCTCTGATTCCATCTTTCAAGACCCGTCTCATACTGTGCATATATTGTCCGCTTTGCATGCTCACGCTTTTTAGAACTTATCTACATAGGTAGAATCATCCCCCTTATAAGTGTTAGTAACTTCTCTCTCCCCAGGCAATGTGAGCGCCAAGAAGGTGCAAAGCGGACAATATTTGCATAGTATGAGGTGGGTCCTAGGTTGAAGTTCGGTTGAATGAGCCAGGTAGACTTGTGTAAACAATTACATTAGTTCTTTTCATCTATGGAAATATTTAAATCAAATTGTTGGGTTAAGATCTCTAGATGTTTGCATGTTATAGAATGAATTCAGAAGTCAGGATATAGTTGTCCCACATTCTATGTTTTGAACTTGAAGGGGTCATGTGCACACCTCTGAATTTGCAGATGAAACAACATCTTAATACATTTTTATGTCATTTAGAATTTGGACTGACATCAATTTCTATGTGTTGAATTTTATGTTTACTGGACAGAATAACTCTAGAAGTTCTGACAGAGCTTTTCTTTTACCATCTTCAGGTTCGTGATGACCTAGTGTCAACTTCTGCAACTTAGCCGGCGGTCTTTTTTGATCTCATATACTCAGTTTCAAGCTTAATTGCGTCTGACAGTGCTTGGGTATGTACTGTTTCTATGTGATGTGAGAAGTACAAATTTGTGAATTTAATTAGTTTATTGTCTGAGGCTCTTATTTCTCAAATAGACTGTGATATTTAATGCCCAGTTGTCCCCTTTCCTTGGTTACAATGGCAATCCCTCCATCTGCATAACATATCTCTGTTCTTTTAATCATTTTTCCCGTGGAGGTTTAAGGGCAGTTGCAGGGTTTGGATCTGCAATTTTTAACTTCTGGAGTGGTGGTTTATGACCTGGACAAGTCAATACAACAACATATTACAGTGCACTTGACTGTTCCTCTCCGCCCCACCCGCAAAACAAAAAGAAGAAGAAAAAAAAAAAGACAACATCTCCTCTCTCTGGGTTACAGTTTTAGCCTCGGTATTCTCCATAAGTTGAACATACTGCATTGCGGTTTCCATAATGAATTGAATACTGCATGAAGCATTTGGGTTCAGTGCATTCCAATGTTAAATCACCTTCCAAATTAACAACTTTGGACAGATTGAGAATCCATGATTGGATAATCAAAGGAACTATGGACCCCATTTAGAATGTAGGCCAAAAATCCATGGACGGTGGATCACTTGGTTCTAATACAGGCCTATAGGCATCTGAATTGACCACATATATAAAATTTGCAATAATATCTACAGCCCTTGAAAAAGTTTGTATGAGCATGCACCTATCTGCAAGCCAACTGCTGTCTTTGCATTCCTTTATTGATTTGCTTATATAAATACTGTGTGCATGATGGCCTTTATTCATTGGTTTGTCCATTTTTAGATTATTAACACTGGCAGAGTCATTTTTAATTAATTCAGATTTTTTAATCTTCTTATATTTTCTTTTCTCCTATCCTGGTGCACTAAGTCCTTGTACCTTTGATTTAAAAGTTGTGTGCATTATTGGTTAATTGTGGAGTTCTGGGAATTAATTCACTTCCCTTAGCACATTCAAATGTGCAGCACTGATCTAACATTGTGAGGCTTAGCAGATTGTAAAGCGGTGCACTCCCTTTATGCAGCTGACAGTTAATACAATTTGGTCGTCACATAGTCAGTCATTTTTCTCTTCTTCGTTTGTGCAATGACTGATGGTGGACCTATTGTTTCTTTCCAGAATAGCTTTGGCTAAGCCAGACAACAATGGAGGACTATCTTAGGAAAATTTATCTGGTTGGAAGATATCAATCAAAGACCCGGCTGACCTTGGGTACTTCGTTGGCGAAAATGACAATGCCTCTCATTCTAGCTGTTATAAGACGTGCCTATGGGAACACTCAGTACTTACTAATCTTATGTATTCTTGAGAAGGTGGCATTTGCTGCAATTTTGGGGAATGAATAAAACATTGCCATATATACTATATGGCATTTCTTACTTTTACACTTGTCATTTTCGTTATAGTCATATGTAACCATTTGACAACATGAAGTCATATGTAGTGAACTTGGTAGACCATGACAGGAGATACCACTTGAAGACCTTGGTGGTGCAGTCGATAATTTTTATTTCTTGGTATTGCCCCTACGTGGATATAAACCCTTGACCATGTATTTCGGAAGGTGAAGAAGTGGTGACTAGTGAGTACCATTAGGTTACAGTCTTAGTGATTTTTGATCATTCAGAAACAAAAATTTGCATATAGTGTAGCAAGCTCATCACTGGGAAATGAGTACAGTATTATAGGGGTTTGATTCTTATTGAATAGGTGCGTCTGTCTATCCGAAATCTCAACTTTGGATACATTATTCTACTGGTACAATGATCAAGCTAGCCATCAAAAGCTAGATGATCAACCAATCGTTGGACTGAAGAAGGGGTTGAAGATATGGAGGGGCTTGTACTAGGTTGTACTCTTTGTAGAGACATATACTCTTAATGAAACCCTAGGCAATTTTGTCCTTTCTCAGAGTTACAATCCAATTACGTCCCGTGAGCCATGATATTTCAAAAGCAACCCAAATGCTTTAGAAGCCTAACTCAATAATATCATTTTTATGCTGCTTAAAGGAATTATCAAATGTAATGCCAATTGCCAAGTGACCTTTACTCGCAAGGTATATATCCCAACACACGCATATATGTATTAAAATAATCAAAGTTGAGATATTAAAATAATGACAATGTCCAAAACAAAATTATTGGTGACAGGAGGTGTGATCATTAATGTAACAAAATTATTACTGACATGAGATAAGATTACTACTGACATGAAATTTATCTAATTGCTGAACAAGTAACAGATACGGAGTATAAAACTAGTGATTCCATGGTTACAAAATCAGGTGGCATATAATTTACATCCAAAAAAAACCAGAGTTTGTCAACTAGATACAAATTGGTACACAACTTAATAGTTTTTAGCAGAAACCATACTATTATTATCAAATCAATTGCCATCACAAGCATGAACCTCATTCATGATAATAGGGAAGAAAACTCTGATAATTTACATGAGACAAATGATACAAAACTAATACCAATAATATGGACAAAACTCAGGTCGAAAACTTCCTTCTACTTGCAAGAGCCCACTTTTTTTGTAACACAGTATGAGCTAAATCTTGCTTGCCTTCTCTGTTTAGCCCATAAAAAACAGTTTGAAAATTAACACTACTAGGAATAATACCACTGTCCAACATTTCAGAAATAAGTTGCAGTGCTTCTTCAGACTTACCAACCCCACTTAGACATGAAATGAACATGGAGTAAGTCTTAAAATCAGGAACTGGTCCCTTAAGTTTTATGTGCTGGAAAACATTCCAAGCATCAACAATCTTCCCAAGGATCACATACCCACATATCAATACTGAATAAGTAACAATTGTTGGTTTGCAACCCTCCCCTTTCATTTTCTCAAAAATTTCCAGAGCCTTGCTTACTTGTTTCTCCTTCAAAAAATGACCTATTATGGATGTATAGACATGCACTGTTGGAGAGATGCCTACCTGCTTCATAGATTCCACCTTAGCCAAAGCCTCTTCCAACCGCCCCTTTTTTAGCAGTCCGTGAACAAGGCTTCCAGAAACGTACCGTTCCACGGAAGATCGTTCTGGCCCAACCTCGTCTAACAATGATAAAGCTTCTTCCAATCTCCCTGCACGACAAAGAGCTCTAATGTACAAGGAATAACTTAGTGGAATTGTGAAACCTACTTTACGAAGAGATTCAGTGCACCTTCTAGCATCCGACAGCTTACCAACTTCACATAAACAGTCGAAATAAGTTTCAACCAATTCTTTATCAGGAATACAACCCATTTGAATCATCTCCTGGAACATTTTAATGCCTTCCTCTACCTTCCTTCCTTTTCTACCACAAAGAGAGATGATCAAACATTTGTATGTACTGCTATTTGGTTTACAACCACTATCTTTCATTTCTTTGAAATTCCTCAGAGCAATTTCTGTCATACCTATTCGACCATATTGCATTATCATGATTGTCCATGTGTCTGATGTATATAAGCAACCTTTTCTTCTCATTTCATAGAACAGGCTTCTCATGTGTTTAAAATCCTTCCCGCGTCCAGCTATTTTGATGGCCATGTTATAAGTTTCTGTAGTGTGGCTATAACCAGCTTGCTCTCCTAACCATGAGAAAAAACATAATGCAGAATGACCATGCAGACTGCAATTTCGCAAAATCTCCACAACAAGTTCAGGTGTGAACTGAATGGTGCATTTCTCCAATGCTTCCTGAATTAAGCACCAGCCCCTTGATGAAGACAAAATTCTACAAATTTCTTCCAGATCCTGCTTCCTATAAGGTTTTGAAAGCGGCTCCACCACCTGAAAATCCACCCTCCTTGGCTCTATTCGGTTAGAGCTCAACTCTGTATTTAATTCCCCTCCAATTGATACATCCTTTCTAAAAACCTCACCTTCTTGTGGGTTATGTTTACAGGCTCTCCGCATCTGCTTTACTTTGTCTATCATCTCCATTTCTCCTTTTTTCTCAAAATAAGATTTAATTAAATGGAAAATATTTTCTCCAATAGTTATTTTGGAGGCCAGCATTTTATCCAAAACCTTGAAAATCTCGTCCGTCCTTGAAATTTTACAAAGCTCCTTGATGAATATGGAATAAGATTTCCGCGTCACCTTGATGCCTTTTTCCTCCATACTGTTGAACACTTCCCAAGCTTCAGGAATACAGTTTTGGCAAATATGACCAGCAACCATAGCAGTAATAGCCACGCTATCTAGCTTAACTCCTTTCTCCAGCATCTCGTCATATAGCTTGCAGGCTTTTTGGTACTCATTCAACCTGAAAAGATGTTGCATCAGCTCAGTATAAGTGGAAGTTGCAGGTAATTGCCCAGATTCTTTTATGCTTTGAAACATATCAAATGCCTTATCAATATCATTTCTCCGCAAGTAGCCATTAATAACAATTCGATATATATTCCCATCAACAGCAGTCTTTTTCTTCATGACATCAATAATTTCCAGAGCATCAGCAATCCTGTCAGCCCTACACAGTCCTTTCACCAATGTTTCGAAATTTCCAGGGTCAAGGATTATATTTTTATCGTTCAGGTAGCGAATCAGTTCTAAGGCTTCTCTAATTCTCCCAGCAATGCAAAAGCTCTTCAAGACAGAAGCATATACATCATGTTCCGGAATCTTAAAAACCTCTATCATCTGATTTGCAACAAATTGAACTGAGGCAATATCTCCTGATTTTGCTAAGGACCTCAATAGTAATATATACAATCTCATATTGAGCCCCATGTTCTTATGGATCATCTCCCTGTAGAACTCCATTGCAATTTCGGCCTTTTCAGCAGTACAAAGTAAACGGATCATCAGTTTGTAAGTCACCTCATCAGGCTCAAAACCAGATCTCCGCATCTTCTCAAAGATTAACAAGGCCTTTCCAACTAACTTTGCATTTCCAAAATATGATATGAGAATGGTCCATGTCTTGATATCCTTCTCACACGAGTTCTTTTCCATCTCCTCTACCAATTCTTCAACCAGCCCAAAATCCTTTGCTTCCACAGCAATGTAAATCATGGTATTGAAAGCTTCTGTTGTAAGACAAAACCCTTTGTTGAGCTTCACCCAATTGAAGAACTTCAAAGCTAAATGTGGCACTTTAAAGCACCTCTTCAACACTTTGTCAACAATCTCAGTATCAAACTCAAAACCCGCACTTCCTAACCGTACCTCCATGGAAACTGCAGAATCTTCTGCACGTACAATCTCTGTAACCTTATGAACTATTGGACTAACATCACTTACACCCATATTTTTCAACTGGGTGGCTTCCAAAACTAATGCATCGGCCTTCCCTAGCTCCACATTATCCTTGGCATTCTCACAAACACGTTGCACGCAACATGGGTATTCTTCCTTTTCCTCGGTATCCTTTAAATGGGTTTCTTTAGATACTGAAAACGCAGATGATCTGTCATCCAGCATAAGGTTTCCAGCCCCTAAAATCTCAGTGATGTCATGGAATAGTGAATCGAAGTTTTGGGTTTCTGTCTGGTTTTTCTGGTGTGTTTCTCCACTTTTCTTGGAATTGTGAAGTTTAGATGCTTTAGAGAGAGATGAAAGACCAAAAGTTTGAAACTTGGAGACACAAATTGAATTTAAGGGTCGGAGTTTGAACAAATACCTCATCCTTTTCTAATAGTTGGTGGCTGTGAATTGGCAGCCCTCGCACATTGATGTTGATTATACTCTGTATGAAGAAAAGCGTCTTTGTGGTTTACTTGAATATCTTATTCTGATACAAGGAAGCAATGTAAAAGAATTAATTTCTTGGTCTGTTTCTATTAACTGACAAAATATAAAATAGTTTTAAAAAAATTCAATTAATATTTTCTAAACACCAAAAATGATAAAAGAGTCTATGGATCTTATTAGTAACTTGTGTGTTCATTATTTATTTATCTACTGTTACTAAAATTCTTTGGTGGACACTTAAAGGGGGAGTGGAGCAAAAAATTCATTACCAAGTACAAGAATATTAGTATTACTTTACAAAAATGATAGCCACTTTGTTAGATGGGAGTGGAGCAAAAAATTCATTATCAAATACAGCATTGTTCTACAAAAATGATTGCATTTGACACGTGAATTCTTCATGTTGTTATAATAATAAAAATAAATAAATAATAAAAAATAAAAACTGTAGGCTAATTAGAATAATAAAATACTTATTATTCTACCTTTTAAAATTACACTCTCTTTGACATCTTAAATTTTTGAAGTAAATGATTAAATTGAAAAAGTACATGTTAGATCAAAAAAAGATCACACATGAGGGGACGTTTTGAAAAATATAAATATTAAAATTACACCTTCTCTAACATCTTAAACTTTTAGAATAGACTTACCACTGTTCCTGTAATTGCATGATATATAAATAAGTCCATTTTTCTCTCTCTTTCCAAACAGAATATAAGAGTCACATATAATGATTAAGAGTTAGTTTTTCACATATAAAGGGTTACTTTCCTTCTCATTTGATTAGATAAAAATGAGAAGGAAAGTTAATATTGTGTTTAGTATATAAAAATAAAATAAAATAAAGTGAAAAATGAAAAGATTTTGAGCTACTTCAAGAGTTATCTGAAGTCCACTTGGTTCAAGTATTGTGCAGCAGCTACAAGACGAATCTTTAGAGACTGGAATGACTCGCCTTCATGCTATCTTCGTCGTCCGCCTCTAAGACTGTCGGATTGAGCTCTCTTTCTGCATTCTTCTCTCTAAAAGTTAGGGTTTGTTACTGGATTTGTTGGCTGATAACCACCATTAACGGTTTCATTAGGCGTTAATTATGGTTTTTAGTTTAGGTTTTGGACAGGGCTTCTCTTATTAGGGTCTTCTTTTGGATTGGGTTTACCTCTTTCTTTGGGCTATTTGTGTTCTGCCTATTTGGGCTGCTTTGGCCCAAGGCCTACCTGTAATTATTCTGTTTATTTACATCAGTTGGTTAATATTTCGGTAAAAAAAAAACAGTACCAACTAAAGGAAAAAAATTTGGAGCCCACGAACTTCTTGCACAGTAATTTTATTTTGTAATATTTCCAAATAAAAGGAGATTATGTTTTACACTTATCTTTTCTTTTTTCTCAAGTTATTTCTTTTATTAACCACCGAACACCGCTAAACGAGGTCAGTAGCGGTTCGGTTTGTAGAAGAAGAATTGGGGATTGTGCGGGAAGCAAGAGGGTAAAGATGGGTTGGGTGTGGAAGGACGATGATGAATCCGGCGATTCCCCAAACGGCGATATCGAAGCCTCTTCGAACCCTAGTAGTTATAAAGACCGATGCTCTACCAGAAAGATTCTCAAATCGCACTGTAAAACCGAAGAGGTGGAGCCTGGAAAATTCCTCAGAAAGTGCGAGAAAACCGAGCAGATCCTCAAGGACTGCTTTGGAAGGTAACTTCACTTTCTTTGTGAAATTCATATATATATATATATATATATATATATATATATTGCTTTATCTCTGTTTGATTGCTGAGAAAATGTCGTAAAACAATATAAATTTGTGATTTTTCAGGGAATTTTTTTCCAAATTGAAAAACTCCGGATTTTTTTTTTTTTTTTGCTTATCCATGAACTGATGGTTAAAGGAGACTCCCACGCTTCTTGGTTGATTTCATATTCTCTTTGTGTTAATTTCCTCTTATGATTTGAGAGGTTTGGAGGTTGCTGGTGTGTCCCTCTAAATCTCTTTCTTCCTCCTTTCTTCCTCCTCCTCCTCCTATGATGAGAGGTTCAAAAGTCACATCGGCTCCTTCTCTCTCTGCACAGTCTCAAAATTAACACTATTTTGATACTATTTTCCACAATAGGGAAATCTTCTACTTGCAATGACATGCATCTTATTCATTGTACCATGAATTTCAATGTGGAATTGCCTTAAAATGGAAAACTTTTGCCCAAAAAAAAATAATAACTAAAAGGAATGAAAAGAACTTAAAGAACCTTCTATTATAAGGATGTGAGTCCTCATATATATATATATATATATATATATATGCATAGAATAAAAATGTTTTCAAAGTTGAACAGGTTCTCATTTGTACAGAGGTTCAAGCTAGGGAGTTTTGAATGAGAATAGTTGAAAAACATTAATATTCAAGGATTGAATACAGAAAAAACTACTATGAGCACATCTTCTACAATAGGAAATTTTGTAGTTCCTGTGATGGAATTTTTTCATGTATTGTACATGGGAATTTTTGGAGGTCAAATTCTGCCCACAAAGTATAATGGAAAAAGCAGTTATAATAAATATTAATTTCTATCACAAGGTTAAAGAAATTGTACAAGGATAAAGAGCTATTCAAACTTGTACAGATCATTGAAGGGAGTGCTGGGCAATGGTAGTTGAAGAACATTTGTATTTGAAGCAAGAAATTGAAATTCGAGATTGGTATTATGCCAAAAAGAACAATCGTGATTTCTTCGAAGAAAATGCTGATTGATCTAAAGGCTTGGATTGGAGAAGATCCCTATTCTTTATTGACTTGTAAGAAAACATATTACAGTATTCAACGAAGGTAATATCAAGAGAGGATAGGGAGTATCAAATATATATTGATGTTATCCAAGTATTTCTCTGTTGAAATGGTTATTCTAACAACCAACATGGTTAACTACATTTGTCACTACAACTTTCCATCGAGCTGTTTCTACACCTATTTTTATGTAAGTATTTTTCTTCGTCATATTTTCTTGTCTTATCACATGCTTTACTAGTTGTGGTTGATGTGAGACTAAAGTCTTGGAAAGAAAAGTGGGTGTCCATAGTCATGGCTCATGACAGGTTTTGGCGGAGGATTTGGGTTGAACCCTTTTATTTTCTCATTTTAAAAAAAAGAATGGATGGGGATATAATTTTGTGGTGTACTTGTTTACTGATGGCATAATTTAGTTCACAAGACCAAAGTAAGGGTATAAATAGGATAAAACTAGAAATTGGAATAAAATTTCTATAAAATCAGGAGTAGGTTGAAGGGCTTTGGAGTTGGTATAACCTAGAAATTTATAGAAGTGAGCTCTGTTCAGATGCTAGTGCTTCTAAATGGTTATGGTCAACTACTGCTAATTGTAATAGAAGGAAATTTTTGTAAGATGGACATTAAGTTGGTGATGCTTTCTGGTACAGAATTCTAGGTAGCAAGAAACCTCTCATTTCGATGAGATGGGTTTGAAATGAGGATGCTAAGATCGGAGGGAGGTAAAAAATGAACAATGGGATCATTTCAAGCTTTTAGGGGAGCATCTCTTGGATATAAGAGAAAGTAGTATATTTTTGCTCCCATATGCAGTTGAGGTTGTTTGTGGATGATGTCGTGTTGGTGAATGCCTCCAAGGAAAACTTGGGAGTACAAAATTAGAAACTTGGCGAAATGCCCTAGAACTAAAAGGTCTAAAAATTAGTAAGGCTAAAACAAAAAAATGTGGAATGTAAATTTAATAAAGAATCAGAAATTAATAATATAACAATAGCAATCTAAGATCATGGAGTCACTGAAAATCATCATTTTCAATACTTAATTAGTACCAGTAATACAAGAAAATGGCGGAATGCATGGATAATGATATTACTTGTAGGATTGGAGTAGGTTGGACTAAATGGAGACAAGTTAGTGGTGTTTTATGTGATAAAAAATACCAAGCAGGTAGAAAGGAATTTTTTTTATAGGACGGCTTTTAGGCCAGCTATATTATATGGGGCGTAGGAAAGATGGAGTTATTATTTAAAGCATGAGGGAGATTCCAAGAATAGCGCCTATTAGTGGCAAAATAAGAGAGTGTACTTATGTGGTTTGGACAAAATAAGAGAGAATGTATTTGTGTGGTTTGGACACAAGATCCATTGATGCACCCATTAGAAAGCGAAGAGTAGTTTGCATATAAGGTAAGAGAGCGATGACAGCCAAAACCTAACATGGAATAAAGCAATTCAAACTGACTATAAACATTAAATATTAATGGAGACATGGTATATAATAGAATAGAATGGAGACAGAGAATCCATATGGCCGACCCCATTTATTTGGAAAAAAAGGCAACGATGATGATGATGCAGTTGAGGTTGTGAATACTTCAGTTGTATGGTTTAGATTAAGGCACTATGCGAACATGTAAAAGATAGAAAAGAACTCGAGTTGAGGAAGTGACTGAATATATGTTGGCCTATAATCATTTATGCAATAAAAGATGGGAACAATTGCAACTTATTCATGACTTTGAACTAACAATAGTTTAGTATTTTTTAAGTTACAGTAAACAGTAGTAATACCACTTGGCCACAACCTTTGTAGCAGCGTGGTATTTCATCTATGGTCCATTTTCTCAATGTTCTAGCATCTAGGTATTCTGCAATGGTTAAGGATTTATATCATACACTTTCCAAATTTATATAAATGGTAAATTTGGGTTCACACTTATGTTACTTATTCAGGCCCTCTGAGGTGGTGCAATCTAACAAAGAATACACTGAAGAAGATGTCACAGATCAGGTGCTTAAAGGGTCTTTACCCTTGGAGTCATCAGACCTTGGACCCTTTGACTTTCCTGGGCTACGCACTGATATTGAAGCCATGGAACGTAGATTCTTTGGTGGTCTCGATCGTTTCTTTGAAGCAGCTGAAGATGTGAAGAATGGCTTCTTTTCTAAATTTGGGGCTCCACACCAAAATGATAGGAATTCTTCGTCGTCGTCATCCTCAAGGCGGAGTATACCAGTTGAAGACCATCCTCCAAAAGAAACCTCTCCTAAATTGAGCAATCCCAAGCCTGGACATGTAGATCTTTCTGAGTTGGCCAGAGATTTATGAAGCAAAACCCCTTTTGATCGTTACACTGAAGCAAAGCCCCTCTGACTGTTTCATAAATAAGTTGGCTTTGATGCTAGTCCATGATTTTGGTTCCAGTTGTCTCTCACACGATGTAAGTTGGATGTTGACGTGTTGGAATGTCGGGTCTATTAGAATGCAACCTAATTCTTCAATGCGTGACCAATGCTTGGAATTCCATCTCCTTTATTTATTTATTTTTCTTTTTCTTTTCCTTAGTTGGAGCTCAAGAACCATGTGACTCTAATGTGAGTTTGGTTGAACCAGAGGAAGTTTGTATCATTCCAACTGCATTAGCTAGGCATCCCAGGTTCTTTAAACAATGCAATTAGCTTCTCATATGGAGAGGTGAAAGGCAATGTTAGGAAATTGGGACCATCTTTTTCCAGTGTGGATGAATATCGTCTCATTTGATGGCTAAATAATTGTTTCCAAGTCTTGTGTCAAATAATTTTTTTTTTTTGGTCATCCAGGGTGGACCGTCAATTAACATGTGTGGTTACAATATGATTATGTTAAGATAAGACCTGTATTTGGCGGCGTCAATTTTCTGAATTGATTATTTTCAATTCCACAGATTTCAATTTGAAAACTCCAATTCCATGTCGCCAAACATAGTATAACTAAATTTTGTTACAAATTGAGTTAGAACTCACTTGTAGAAAGAGAGAGAGACAGACAGAGAGCACATCAGAGTGAGGTGTTAAAAAATTTCATATGAATTAAAGAATAGTCGATAAGAGGCTTACTTCACCATGCATTTCCAACAAAAGCCGGTGATTTGATCAAATCATTAGTCTAATAACAACAAAGTTAGCATGAAAATGCATGGTGAGAGCTTACTTAAAACTAAGCCAACTTTCACTGAAATAATTGACAATGACATATTTTCAATTGAATATGAGAGAGAGACTTCTTTAGCAACGCATAAATACATCATATTTCACTTAAATAATTAATCAACCACCACCACTACCATCACCATCAAAACTCTAATGTCTGTTTCCCGCTATTATATAAAAACAAATACAAGAGTGATAGAATTAAAGAAAAGCAAAAAGTTAGATTTGACTCACAAGTCGCGAAAAGGAAAAAAGAGCAGAAAAGATAATCTTCCTGGATTGTTGGTTTGTGCATGCATACAGTGTCGGTGGAACAAATTAAGATAATAATACTGTATTACATTAAATAATTGATATATAATTACAGTATTAATTTATAACAAAACAACAAAGGAATTGAATTGCTTGGCCGTGCCAATGCAAGTTCTCTTCCCATTATCATCTAGACGTGCCAATGGAATAGACACTAATTTACGGTCAAAATTTTGACAAATATTAATGTAAGTCTATAAAACCCTTTTTAAACTTGTTCAATCCAACATCATCTGAATGGGGGTGTCTCCAAATGCTCACCCTTTCTGTTGTTCATCTTTGATTTGGGATTAATCATGAGGAATGTGAATTATTTTCATTGACAGCTACTGAAATCATAATTCTGTCCAAAAGCCCCTATCACTCTACATGCGACTTCCACCAACTTCCCTGCAGTATGCAGTGTAATAAAACTAATAAGTCAACTAATTTAAACAATTTATATTTAATGAATGAATTACTTTCACATAAACAATAATAACACATGGATGAGAATTAATATTATTATCATTTCCACCAAATGGCCATTAAAAGAATTCAAGTCAAACAAATAAAATATGTGGCAGGTAAAGGGCATGCAAAACAAATCATGCAAGTGCTTAGAACACTCAGAAGACCATCAAATTTATTTATTTGTCTAAAGTTGAAATTAAGCACTCTAATGCCGCCCAAACCCCATCAATTTGCTCCCTAAACCTTAGGCATTCCCCAAACTGTTGAATACAAAGTAAGGTGGGAAGAATTTGAAAGATTATTGTAATGTTTTCATACCTCTCCCTACATGAACAGCCAATTAATATGCACTGCATCAGCAAATTAATTGTATGAACCCCCAATCATCATACCATTCAAGTCAAGTGATCAAATTGCACATTATGTACTGTTGGGCTCTAACAAGGCTATGTCCGGGCAGAGGAGGTTAGATATAGCTTATTAGCCCCTGATCTGATGCTTCCTTCAAAATTCATCAAGAAACCTCAAGGTAAGAGTGACCCCTACAAACCCTCAGAGCTATTGTTCAATCTGACCCTACCCACACCACCACACTCAATTAACAACAAAACACCAAATTCCGGCCATGGAATATACCTATAATTAACCATATATGTTTTCCAGCCCACCAACACCAAATTGACAAAATTAACCTATTTTTAGCCATCTAAACCAATTGACTAAATGTGTTTGTTATTTTGTACATCTTTCAGTGTGTTTATTACTAGTACATAACTTGACAGCATGGGATTTATCTAGCTAAAACCAACAAATGTCAAGAAGTCAAACAAAATTGAAGCATTTGGCAAAGAAACGCACCTCTCCGCGGCTTCGCAACCGCCTTAGGCACCTGCACAGCTTTCGTCAATGGTTTTGAGACCTCCTCTAGCGGAAACAACACACCATCAATCCCCTGCACTGAAATCCTCCCGTCGGTATAAATATCCGGATCAAACAAATACGCAGACACATCCCCTTGTCCAAACTTCACAGACCCATCAGCCTCCTCCGCCACCACCTTATGCGGCAACCGCAGTGTATTATACCGGACCTTCCCGAACCTCCTCACAGCATTGTACATACTCTCCTCCGTCTGGTACTCTGGTATCAGATGGTAGTACATTATCTGCTCAGGCGCACCTGGCTCACTCAATTGGTCTGTGGTGAGTTTGGCCATGGCCTCATCGTTCGGAGCCAAGACCGTCAGGACATACCCCTCCGAAACTAACCGCCCCATCTCCGTCGCCAATGAGGTTAAATTGACCAAAATGTCCGCCATTTCATTGTACCCTCCATAATGCAACAAGGTTTGGATAAAGTCCTTTACTTGACTCTCGCCGTCGAAGTGGTGGTGGGGTCCCCCGGGGCCCGGTGCCGGCGCCGGAGCCAGAGACGGTCCTGGGGCCATGGCATCGAATATGGGCAGGACCGGATGGGATCCGGCCGGAACAGGAGACGCCGGCTTCTTCAACCGGTGGCTCCTGGGGTCCACCTCCGGCGCTCCTTCCGGCAAAACCGCGGAGATCGATTGGAGACTCCGTCTCCGGTTGAAATCTTCTTGCACTGATCGGGGAATCAACAGCCGTTCGATCCCGTGAATGACTCCGTCGGGGCGGACGACGTCGTCCGGCCGAATAACTCTAGCTAGGTCAACGATTTTATCGCCGGAACTCTTGGTCGTCAAATGCAAGCGGTCCTCTGAGAGAGTGGCGTGAGTGGAGTCTGTGCGGTGCGTTGATTCGTCGGCAGCTGGTGAAGTGGGCCAGTGGTGAGTTGGGATCCGGGTGGGAATGATGTGGTAGAGGAGGAGAGTCTGGAGTGACCTGAGATTGCGGGGCTGGAGGAGGAATCGCTTGAATTCGGGGTCGAGTTGGCGCTCTAGGGCTTCATTTCTGGGAGCGAAGATTGTGACGTTGTGTTGGTTGACGGCGTTTTCTAGGGTTTGCAAGAGCAGAGCCTTCTCGATGAGCTCGGCGAGTAGGGTGTAATGGGAGTCCAAGAGAGCGACGAGGATGGAGTTGGAGTTGATTGGAGAAGAGTTGGCGGGAACTTGGTTTGCCGGCAATGCGATGGCGAAATTGGCGGCGAGTGAGATTAACAAGATGAGACTGAATGCGCCATGGATCTGAGAATCCATGGCTCTCTCCATAGAGAAGGAATTAGAGGCCGGAAAATTCGATGGACTAGTAAGTTTACTCTCTAACACAAACAGCAATACACACTCTCTCTATCTCTTTGTTGGAGAGGACTGAGACAGACATAGATATGGGAGGGAAGAAGGCGAGAATGGAAAGCAGTGGAGAATTAATTGTGGTGGTGTACGGACAGACTGTATGTGGAGACCACACCACTGTCAATGTCTCGAGCCATACATACACAAAATGGCAGCTCAGCTCCGTGTTTTTGATTTTTTTTTTTTTTTTACCAACAGCTGTGTTTGTCTTAGCTGGTCTGCCTTCTCTCATTATTATGGGTTAAAACTCTTTTTTTTTTTTTGTTTTTTTTCAATAAGACAAGTAAGATTATAAATAAACATTTCTAAAATTTATCAGAGATATTAATCTTTGGACTATTGAAGCATTTGCTATAAGTTAAAATTTAAAAGTACACTTTCATGTTTTTTTTTTTTTTTCAATAAATAAAATGTAATTTTCTCCCTCACACTACACGATTATTAAAAAAATAAGAAAAATCTCTTACGCTCATTTTTTTTAAAATTTATTAAAAACTTCAATTAGAATGTGAAAATCATTCTCATCTTTCTTCAATTTCTTTTGATAAAAATATTTATCTTTAAAACACTGGGAAACCCTTTTCTGCTAGCCAAATGGCCCAAAAGCGTTGCAGCGTTTGGCACTAATAGAGTGGGACCACATGACCTTGTGGGTTGGCTCGCATTCTGCAAGCCCGAGCTCGATTGCTATTTATTTATTATTTTTTCTTTGTCAAAACGATGCCGTTTTGGGCAGTCTTTTTTTCTTTTTGAAATCTGGTAGCAAAGGTATGTAACAGTGCCATAAGGCCCCTGTTTGGCTGCATGTATTTTTGAAAGAAAAAAAAAACCAAAAGTAGATGATATTGAGCTTTTCTTTTTCAAATAAAAAAGAAAAACAAAATTTATTAAATTTAAAAATATATTGTTTAGGCACTATTTGTTCCAAAAAAAATTATTTTGGGTCAAAAATAAATTAAAAAACCTTTTTCTTTTTGTTTTTTCCCCTTAAAATTTGATTTTTAAAACTTTTTTTTTTTGCTTTACATTTTAAATTCCTACCACAAATGGTGCATTTGCTTTAAAATTCATTTCTCTTCTATCAATACTCTTAACTCCCAACTCATACTGCCATTCATCACAATTAACCATATCTATTCTCTACCATTTAAGCTATTTCATCTTTTTTTATCTCAATCTTAACTATTATTTTCAAACTCAATTCAATTCCATGAATCCTCGATCAATTCTTCCACACAACAACTAATTATCCGAAATCGAAATTTGTTCACGACAAAAAATGAGGCTTTATGTTGGACGTGAATGTTCATTACCTCTGATGCAAATACAGGCATACCATGAAGCATAACATCAATCCTAACTTTTAATTCATATAATGGATGATTTAATGTTATGTAATATCAATCCTAACTTTTGTAATTCATATAATGGATAATGTATTGTTTAAAGTTATAATATCGATCCCTACCTTTTTAACAAATTGCAGAAATATTCTTTGTCATTGGAATATATTTGTTACAATAGAGAGATATGAATGTAGTGATGATTGTTATATGAGAAAATAAGTATTCATTATACAAGATAAAAAATATAACCGTTAGAAAAAAGTTTTTTTTGGAGAGCAAGTTGCATGACTTTAGAGCTAAAATCCGCATAGGCTAATGTGACTGCTCTTACCAAGTTTTTTTTTTTAATTTTTCCTCAAAAAATTAAACAAATTTATAAATGAAAAAGTATCAGGTGGAGGGCCTTTGGTCCCTTTGATCAAAACATTCTAGTGAACCGGCAAACATTCCCACGAGAAGGCAAGCTCGTAAAAGTCAAACTCAATAAGCTCTGTCTGTTTGAATGTAAAATATTTTTTATAAAATATTTATTTTTTATTTTTTCATATTTAGTTGTTTTAAAATATTTACCAAAAAATAAAAAATAAAATCTAACAATAATAATTTATCTATTAATTTTTGACAAGTTAATTTATATGTCTTGCCTAGTGAACTCGACCTTTGAGGAGGCCCTGGATGACATGGGCCAGGTCCGACTCGCAAAACACAACCTTCAGTCCGAACAGCTGGGTCAGCCCATAGAAAGACACTGCCATATGGGCCGAGCGGGAGTAAGCCCATCAAGAGTGACCAGGGCTTACCGAGGAATAGGCCCAGGTCCATCAATTAGTAAATATCTTGTAAATATCTTGTAAATATCTGGTAAGTATCTATAAATAGGAGTTGGAATGAAGAGGAGGGGGATCTTGATTCGGGTTGAGGTGTAAGAATTCTAGAGAGAGAAAGAATAGAAGGAGTTTCTTGCATCTTCAATTGGCGCCGTCTGTGGGAAACGCATAAAAGTTTGGTTGATCAATGAGGAGTATCGAATGGATTCAAACCAATTCGGTTGATCGAGACTCGATCTTGCGGATTTGAATCCAGATCTGAGCGATTGTGACCTACTCTGGAGGAATTACGATTCTTGAAGCTTTGGCAGGAGTGACTTCAGATCTACGCAACCGCGAGTTGCTCGATTGTGACAGGATCTGACGGATTTAGAGTCCAGGCAATTCAGATCTTGTAAACAGTGAGCATAATTCGGAGAATTAGAAGCCAGATCTAAAAATTCCTACTCACGAAGCTTAGATCTACTCGCGAACTTGAGATTAATGCCTTTACTCCGTTCGGGAATAATGATAGGTGAAAGCTCCAATCCGATGGAGGCTGTCCAGCAAACAAAGCTTGAAGAGTTGATGAATTTGATTGAAGCTCTCAGAAAAGAAAATGCAGAATTGAAAGCTGGATTACAGCATCGGCAAATACCCGCAGTTTCGCATCCGCTTCCGGTCGGAGAAGGAGGTGTTCCATCTAGTATCGCGCATCAAGGCGATCAGAACGAGAACAATCAGTCAGCTCGCCACCGTGATGAAAGGATGATGGACAATTCGCCGCCAAATGTTCGTCGAGTTGAAGATCACGAAGGCTCGACTCACGTTGATCCGCAGCGGGAAAGGTTTGACCGAGAGGAAGTGATGGAGGTAGATCGCCGTCGAGTAGCGTCGCCTTGGCAGAGAGAGTTCATAGAGGAACGGTCGTTCGATCCGTCTTACCGGCCCTCCATGGTTACTGTCACTCATCACGGTTCGGAGGGCAGAACCGTAACTCACAGAGCTACCGCTGGACTCCAGAGAGAGAATGAAGCTCTCCGATCCGCAGCTCGGACGGTGGATTCACCATTCACCGACGAGATCTTGAATGCGCCGCATCCAAGGAAGTTTGCTATGCCAGTCTTTATTCTGTTTGACGGAACAACCGATCCGATCGATCATGTGTATCATATCCAGTTGAAAATGGCCCTGAATACGGAAAACGACTCTTTAATGTGCAAATGCTTCCCTACAAGTCTGGCCGGACCGGCGCTCAGCTGGTTCAAAAACTTGCCTAGGAGCTCCATTGGCAGTTTCAGGGACCTGTGCGATCGGTTCATAAGCCAGTACTATGGGAACAAACGCCCGCCGAAGGACATCTCGAGCCTGTTCACGATGCGGCAACACAAGGATGAACGGCTCCAGGCCTTTCTTACCAGGTTTAATCTCACTAAGAGTATGGTAATCGAATGCCATCCTTCTACGGCAGTTCAAGCCTTCAAGTTAGCCATGACACGCGGAACTCCGTTTCACACCAGTCTGGTAGTGAATACGCCAGCTACCATGGATGAACTCAATGAGAGAGCCGATGGCTTTGTGCGCCTCGAAGAAGAGGAGGCAGCTAATGCTCGGACAACGTCGCTTGTGTCGACCGAGGAAAAGTCCAAGGCAAAGATCAGGCAGAAGCAGGCTCAGCCGCAACGTCAGACCACTTGGAAGACCGAAAAAAGGTCCAGGGAGGAAGAGTTGATTACTCCGCTGAAGGTCACTCTGGCGAGGTTGTATCAGGAGAACAAGGACAAGTTTCATCCACCACTGCCAATTAGACAACCCCTCGAACAGAGGGATCAAACTAAACATTGTGCTTTTCATTCTGATTTCGGACATCAGACTAACGAATGCAGGAACCTGAGGAGGCAAGTGGAGATGTTGATAGCTAGAGGGGAGTTTGCGAGTTATGTTCAAGGCTCGGCGATGGAGCAGAATCGACCAGTGGAACAAATAAAAAGGAGTCATAAACAAAGCTCCCACAATTCGCAACCAGTTCGTATAATCAATGCTATCCATGGTCGACCCGAGCCTAGTGAAGAGCCAGATGAGCTGCTACGGGTGCGCCTGCGGCAGGCGCAGATGAAGAAAAGGGTCGGCAATGTGACCACTCTACACCAACACAGCCCGTCAATGCAGATAAAGTTCGACTGGACAGACCTGCAGCGTGTTCAACTGCCTCATGACGACCCGTTGGTAGTCAGTTTGACAGTGGCAGAGTGCTTGGTGCCCAGAGTTCTGATCGATCCTGGGAGCAGTGCGAATGTTATGCCGAGGGACACATTTGACAGGCTCGACATTAAACCAGAGAGGCTCAAGCCCACCGGAAATCCCTTATTAGGGTTCGATGGGAAGAGGGTGGAACTCGTCGGGATGGTGGAAGTAGAAGTTCAAGCTGCAGAGCGAGCTCTTATGGAAACTTTTGTGGTTGTGAAAATTCACCCCTCGTATAATCTCCTGATGGGAAGAGGATGGATTCACAGAGTCCGAGGTGTACCCTCAACTCTGCATCAGGTCATGAGGTGCCTCGGGCCCGATGGAGATAAAGTGATAGACATTCGGGGGGATCAGGTCGCAGCCAAAGAGTGTTATTCCGTCACACTAAAGCATGCAGGGAAGGGAAAGGCGCCCGTCCGGTCGACAAGCCCCAGATAGCAATTACAGGAACCTCCACTCGAGCAGAATAGGGTGGAGGAGTCAGCCGACTTGACCGAGGAGCCCCTTCTGGATGTGCAGATCGATCAGTCCAGGCCAGAACGAACTACCAGAGTGGGTATAAGACTGACCAGAGAAGAGCAGCAAGAGCTAGTGGATTTCTTATCCCACAATGTCGAAGTATTTGCATGGAGTCACCTCGACATGCCTGGAATTAGTCCTTCCGTCTCCTGTCATTCCCTGAATGTCAATCCTAATTTCAAACCAGTGAAACAGAAGCAGCGAAGATTTGCTCCAGAACGTAATCAGATCATAACGGAAGAAGTTGATAGGCTGCTTGATGCGGGATTTATCAGAGAGGTGCACTACTCTGAGTGGTTGTCCAACGTCGTTGTGGTGCAGAAGAAAAATGGGAAATGGCGCGTATGCATTGATTTCACCAATTTAAACAAAGCCTGCCCGAAGGACAGTTTCCCGTTGCCTAAGATTGATCAAATGGTGGATGCCACCACGGGGTATGAGCGTTTAACCTTTCTGGACGCATATTCAGGTTATAATCAGATTCCTATGGACCCCGCAGATGAAGAAAAAACTTCTTTTGTCACCGAGCGAGGAACATACTGCTACAAGGTTATGCCTTTTGGATTAAAGAATGCGGGAGCAACTTATCAACGACTTGTCAGCAAAGTTTTTAAGAATCAAATGGGTAAGATTGTCGAAGCCTATATTGATGATATGGTGGTGAAAAGTAGGAAAAAGGATGATCATCTGAAGCATCTGCAAGAGGTATTTGATGTACTAAAGCGATATGGGATGAGGCTCAATCCGACCAAGTGCTCGTTCGGTGTGAGTTCCGGGCAGTTTCTGGGACACGTGGTCAACCGCAGGGGCATCGAAGTTAGCCCCGCTCAAGCAGAGGCTTTGATTAAGAATGTCGAGCCAAAGACGATCAGAGAGGTGCAAGCCCTAACAGGACGAATAGCTGCATTAAGTCGATTTATTTCAAAGTTGTCAGACCACTGCAAACCATTCTTTGACACGATTCGGAGCCATGGAAGGCAGGTCTGGGGGGATGAGCAACGACAGGCATTGACTCATTTGAAGCAATATATGCAGAATCCGCCAGTCCTGTCAGCCCCAGAACCGGAAGAAAAGTTATTTCTATATCTTGGAGTATCTGGTGTCGCGACGAGTGCCGTTCTGATTCGTTGCAAGGAAGGGGTGCAATACCCGGTATTTTATGTAAGCAAAACACTGATGGAGGCAGAAAAAAGATACTCAAAGGCCGAACGGGTGGTACTTGCACTTGTAAATGCAAAAAGAAAGTTAAGGCATTATTTTGAATCCCACCCCATAGCTGTTCTAACAACTTTCCCAATCAGAACGCTCATGCACAAGCCAGAGCTCTCGGGCAGAATGACAAAGTGGGCCATAGAGTTGAGTTCATTTGACATAACGTACGAGCCGAGAACAGCTATTAAAGGGCAAGCGGTGGCCGATTTCCTAGCCGAGCGCCAGTGGCAAGTGGCAAGTGGCAAGTGGCATTCTAGCCGAGCGCCAGGCACTTAAGCAAGATAAGTGGCAGCTGGCACTATAAGCCGAACGCCAGACACTTGCTAAAAATTTAAAGCCAAGTGGCAAGTGGCATTCTAGCCGAGCGCCAGGCACTTAAGCAAGATAAGTGGCAGCTGGCACTATAAGCCGAACGCCAGACACTTGCTAAAAATTTAAAGCCAAGTGGCAAGTGGCATTCTAGCCGAGCGCCAGGCACTTAAGCAAGATAAGTGGCAGCTGGCACTATAAGCCGAACGCCAGACACTTGCTAAAAATTTAAAGCCAAGTGGCAAGTGGCATTCTAGCCGAGCGCCAGGCACTTAAGCAAGATAAGTGGCAGCTGGCACTATAAGCCGAACGCCAGACACTTGCTAAAAATTTAAAGCCAAGTGGCAAGTGGCATTCTAGCCGAGCGCCAGGCACTTAAGCAAGATAAGTGGCAGCTGGCACTATAAGCCGAACGCCAGACACTTGCTAAAAATTTAAAGCCAAGTGGCAAGTGGCATTCTAGCCGAGCGCCAGGCACTTAAGCAAGATAAGTGGCAGCTGGCACTATAAGCCGAACGCCAGACACTTGCTAAAAATTTAAAGCCAAGTGGCAAGTGGCATTCTAGCCGAGCGCCAGGCACTTAAGCAAGATAAGTGGCAGCTGGCACTATAAGCCGAACGCCAGACACTTGCTAAAAATTTAAAGCCAAGTGGCAAGTGGCATTCTAGCCGAGCGCCAGGCACTTGCCGTACAAACACACAGCAAAGCTAATATAAAAAGAAAAAGAGAGAAAAGATATATATGTACTGAAGATAAGTTGAACAGAGCACAACACATAGAGAAAAAGAGTTCGGCCATTTCATTAATATTGAACATTTAGTTTACAAAAGAGAGGTGTCCATCATTACAAGAAGATATGAACTGGAAGAATTCGAAGGAGCCCTAGCTAGACGCCTCAGTACCAACAGCATCCTGGTCCTGCCGACTCGCCTCCTCGGCCCCATCAGCCGCCTCACCTTCATGAGGTGGGGAATCCAGGTGAATAACTGAGTCGTTCGGCTGGGGTTCAGCGTCAGCAGTGGCTACAGAGGGAGCCACGGTTGACGATTGGGGAGCGGTCAGTGGCAGAGCGGTAGGAGGAGCTGTGATGATCCTTGAGGATGCGATGTCCTGGCACTCATCAAATATACGCTCCGCTTCGGTGGGTTCTGGGTCGACATAGACCCCCAGAGGCTCGATCCCCAGATCCTTGTCTACCTCATCCGGAGTGGAGCTGGTCTGTCCCTCATCCGGAACCCGGTCGGCGAAACCTTCCCGGAATCCTTGAGCATACCGAAGAGCACCGACCCTGGAGAACCGAGCATGAAGGGCCAGCATCCCACCACCCACTCTGCTGATAGCGTCGATCAGAGCGGTACGCTCGTCCAGAGCTCTTTTTTCAAAAGCCATCCGAGCAGACTGTTCATTAGCTAGAAGACGTTGGAGTTCTGCCTTCTCTTCTCTGAGTGATTCCTGCTCAGTCTGCCAGACCCTCTTCTCGAGCTGGAGGGCGTCCTTCTCATCCTGAAGGGAATCATTCTCCTTTTTCAGGACATCTCTCTCTTGCTCGGCTTTGTCAAGCCGAACCAGCACCTCGGTATTCTTCATGGCAAGGAGGTCGTTCTCTTTATTAGCCACCTCCAGGCTGTCAGAATACTTTCGGGCCCTGGCGTTCCCCATTTCCACCTGCTTCTGCATGGCCATCATCCCGAACAATGTCTGCATAGGTGCACAATAAGAACGGTTAAACCAATAGTCAGAACGGGCGGAGGCAAGACCAAGTAATATAAGAGAATTCATGAGTTAGAAAATAAAAGTCACCTCCATAGCAGATTGGGGAAAGCGACTGAACACGTCCTTCTGGGAAAGGCCCTTTGCCGCCTCAATGTCCTTCGGAGTCCACATGCTCCTGTAGTAGGCCATAGCGGTCTGGCCATCCTTCAGCATGGTCTCGTTCGGTTTCACGAACGTCCCATCCGTTCGAGTGTACCGAGGGGCCCATGGCGGCAAGCTGGGGATAGAAGGGGGGCCTGAAGCAGAAGCAGAGCCACCAGCTGCAGGAGGCCCAGAGTGAGAAGGAGCTCTGATCGCTCGGTGCAAGAGAGTACCCGGCCCAGAGACTCGGGTCCTTCTAATAAGAGGCTCCTCCTCAGGGTCGATTTCACTGTCAGGATGAGGCCTTTTGCCTCGCTCTTTGTCCCGACCGCCCCCCGCAGCAGCAGGAGCTATGGTAGCTGGGGAGGGCGCGTTCTGGTTGGCCGCAGGGGCGCTGGCAGCAGGGTTAGTAGCCACTGCGCTCGGGACAGTGTCAGATATGGTGGCTGAAGAAGAAGCCGACGCTGGAGAGGAGGTCGCCCCAGCAGCAGGAATGACTGGGGGAGTATTTTTCCTCCTGCCAAAAGAGGGAATCTGCAGTCTGCTCATATTGTAGCCGAGTGATGAGAGCGCAAAGAGGTTGTCTGAAGTGAGGAGATCTGAGCAGGAAGGAATATCGTTCAGAACGTATCTCTTCAAGTAGTTAATCCTATCCCTGCAAACACTGTAGCTCAAGTCATCACAAGGTATTCCCAAGGAGCGGCATAAGTAAGTGCAAAAACGAGGAACGCATGTTTCACAGGGGCAGTCGTGTTTATGGGATTTGAATTTTTTATAGGAGGAGACAGAGCAAACACCAAAGGCGCTCGGGATTGGGTAATCCTCTGCAGCCGGCGAAGACCAAGCCCCACTAATACCCACTATACTATCCCTCCAACCCTTTTCAGATTTTATTGTGTCAGTGCATATGGACATCTTCTCGAACGGGTAGAGGTGGTAGAAGGGCTCGTTAGTACGGATCTTACTGACCTTATAGCACAGAAGGAGGTCTATGAGGTCAAGGTCCAGATTTCTGTCACGCATCAATAAGAGCATAACAGATATGATCCTAAAGAAGTTGGGGTTGACCTGCAGAGGGGATATCCCCAATCTGTTGAAGACGTAACCAAAGAAAGGGTGCAGAGGGAACCTAACAACATTCAGTTGAAGGTTTGTGAATAAGACTTCGCCGGGCAGGAGGCCGGCGCCGGTCGTAATATTAACGTCTTGGGGGCAAACCCTAACTACGATGTTGTCAGGAAGTCTAAGTCTCATACGAAGAACACCCAGATCTACAACCATGGTGGAAGTGCAAGAAGAATCTAAAAGAGGGAAAATGGAAGCCTGCCGAAAGTAAAAAGAACGAAACTAACCTCGGAGGACTGCAAGATCGCTGGGAGAATGACTCTCGAAGGATTTCACCGGAAAAGGCTTAGCACAGTTCTAGAAAGAGGGAGATTTGGCTGATGATGGAGACGGTAAAGGGAAGTGAAGTGGAATTCTAGAGCATTATATAGGCAAGGGGGCCCGAGGGCCGAAGCGTCGGGAAGGCAAGAAATCCCTCGAACCCCGGAACATTGATTCTGGATCTGACCATTCGCTCCCCCACGTGGTTATCTCGAGCCGTCAGCGTCATGATGAGACGCCATCAATAATTACCCCTTATTAAATAAGGGGCAATTATGGGGGCAGTTGAGGAGGCCCTGGATGACATGGGCCAGGTCCGACTCGCAAAACACAACCTTCAGTCCGAACAGCTGGGTCAGCCCATAGAAAGACACTGCCATATGGGCCGAGCGGGAGTAAGCCCATCAAGAGTGACCAGGGCTTACCGAGGAATAGGCCCAGGTCCATCAATTAGTAAATATCTTGTAAATATCTTGTAAATATCTGGTAAGTATCTATAAATAGGAGTTGGAATGAAGAGGAGGGGGATCTTGATTCGGGTTGAGGTGTAAGAATTCTAGAGAGAGAAAGAATAGAAGGAGTTTCTTGCATCTTCAACCTTAATTTTGATTTAAATCTTTGTCAAACACAGAAAAAGTAAAAATAATAAATAAAAAAAAATATTATAATTGGAAAAGAAAAAAAAATTAAGAGAAAAATATTTTACGGAGCTTAAATCACACAAATACCTTGGTTTAACGGACTAAAAATTAGCCGTTAAAGCAAACCATCCATTGTCTGTTTCGGTGATCAAGCCCTTGAGCAAGGCTCGATCAGTGTCAATTCGGTGATCTCGGCAGCAGCTTGCAGCACGACAGCTAGAGGCTCCAGCTGCTTAGAATGATTCTTGAAGCTGTACAATTGAGTTGATGGCATTGCAAATTTTGCCCAAAACAACCCTATGAGATGAACCATATATCTTTTTACAAATAAGAATCATAAGGTTATTAAATTATTACTGTCATTTTTTAGCTTTTTCTTAATTAAAAACTTTTAATGCTATACGTTGTTTCTTGCTTACCAACTTATTTACAAACAAACTTCTTAATTTATCAAACAAAAAAGCAGAGAATTTATATTTAGTTTTTATAAAATAAAAAGTAGAAGAAGAAAAAAGAAAGTGAAAAAAGATTCTAATTTTTAATCGAAGCAAAAGGACCTCGAAAATAAAAGGAACCGAGACTGAATAGTTTCATTGTCTGCAAATCATCGAGTGGGCCATCTTTTTTACCTATTGGTAAGGAAATACTACTATGTAGTTGCAGTGCAGTGAAAGCTTTGTTTGCAGTTGATGAAACGAATTTGGATGAATATCAATATAAATTGATCGAATCTATTATTTTATAGAGGTGTGTATAGATATCAGACTTTTAAAAACGGGTTATGAACCGATCAATACGTTACGTATCGGTTGGTACCGCGAACCACGACCTAGTGTAGAGCAAATTTATATTACATAGTTTTTTTTTTCATATATAAAAAAATTATATAATGCTCCTTTTTTAAGAAAATTAATTTCTAAAATTATCTCCTTTTTTATGCTTCAAATTCCTTTAATTTCTTCTTTAAAGAAAAAAAAAGTTAAATTTCTCTTCCTCAATCAAATTCTTCTTCCTTTTTTTTTTTTCCTTTCAAAATTTTCTGAATTTGCTTTTCTTTTTCTTTTTTTTTTCTACTTCTTAAAATTTCTTCTTTCTAGGTGCATATTTGAAATTTTTTTTTTTTAATATTTTATATTTGTCATGTTAGTTAATTATGGCTCCACCCTATGTGCAAGCTACATCTAAAGATTCAAACCCATTCTCGATCATTTTAAACATTTTATCCATACTATAAATGACGGTGATAAAATTATCATGAACTCCTATTTACTTTAATTTCTTGATCTTCCACTACTAAGATTAAGGGCCAATTTGGGTGTGACAGCCGCCTTTTAATTTTAAGAAGAAAATCACAAGATCTAAACCCTTACATTCTAATTAGATCGAAGCTTAAAAAACTGATTTATTTTTATGAGGCCAATGACAATCCAAGCTGAGAAATTTGTTTATTTTTGCCCCGTGAGTGTCCTAAAAAAAATTTGCACACTCAACGTATAAATTTATATTTTATAATGTAGGAAGGTATATTGGTAAATTTATAACTATAATTTCCTTTCCTTTCTTTTATTTTTCTTCATTAATCAACAAAACATGATAAGAGATTAAAACTAATTTCCTTTCTTTTCCGTCATAATTAATTTTATCATTTTTTTTTTTTTTGTCACGGTACCAAGCTTAACTGGCTGAAAATATTCAAGCTTTGGCAACATAAATAAATACAAAATGCTATAAGAAAATACCACATAAATTAATCAACAAATTGACAGATGAAAAAGTATGTCTAGACTGATGATCATACCATTTAAATATGCATTGAAGATGGAACTCATGCATGCAAGTACTCACCTCCAAGCTAGACAAGTTTTGACTCATGCATGATAATCATATTCTTTAGGTAAATGACTGAAATAAACTACCACAAATTCAAAAGTGTAGTGTTTTCACAAAATCTTGTCATGCCATGGCTTTTATATATTTACAGACCTAAGATAGTTTTCAAAAAATTTAAAAATTCAATTAATAATTTTATAAATCTTTCGATCCAACGGTCAATAAGTCTTCATAATAACCAAAAGAGTGCATTTAATCAAATTTTTTCTGTCAACTTTGAAAAACTAAGAGCCTTTTGGGATTGTTTTTCAATTACACACTTAAAAGCCTTTTTAATTAAAATAATTGTGTTTAGTGATGAAAAAAGCGCTTTTAGAAATTAGGGATTCAATCAAGACAACGAATTTTTAAAATTGCGTTATTGGTAGGGGTAGAGTATTTAAAATAACTAATTTGTTTTTGGACATTTAAATTCCTCTTTATTTTCTAACAATACAAGTTTAAGCGTCACGTAAATAAATGTGTTTAGTTTATGCTTATTTCATCAATCGCTTTGCATTATTGACAATATTACCATCACTCTGCCTATTTTATTACTAAAAAAATCTTATATCAAATACAAATTAATTATCATTAAATATGTTTAAATTATTATATTTTAGTATTAAAAACAAATACTATATAATAAACAAAAAAAAATGCGCTAATAAAGAAGAAATTCAAAACAACTTGACATACTTCTATCACCAAACGTTTGACATACTTCTATTCTATTTAACTTTTAGATGGCCCAAATTGAGCCCGGACATATGGTAGTGGGTGGCCCAAATTTAGATAGGGTTCATGTCGATCACTATCAATTTCTGGTTGAAAGCCGCGGCCCATCATATTTTATGACTGCCCATATTTAATGTAAAGAAGCGAGTTCAGGGTCTCCTAAGCCCAGTTTGGGCTGACTCAATTGACACCCCAAAGCGGTACAGTTGGTTCATTGCAGGGGTAGGTAGGTGGGGTTATGACAAGTAAAAATGCGCTCAACAACTCCAATTCATCTCATTAATTGTTTATTTTTTCCTTTTTCTTTTTCTTTTTATATTTGAGTAGTCAAATATTGTTGCTTTAAAGCAGATTCGTAAATCATTTTAGCATGTTAATGGGCCATTTAGCATAGTGGTCTCGTTTGCAAAGTAAGGTTGTTGACTTAATTGTCCCACCTTTTTGTTTTCCTAGTATCAATTTTGTGGCCCATTTAGATACCCAATTTTCTCCATACAACAATATATTCTCTCTCTCTTCATTTAGTTGTGCTCTTTTTGTTTGGACGCATCATCATCCATAATTTATAGAAATCCCACTAAGTTTGCCCTTTCAGCTCCCTTTTTTCATGTATATATATATAATGTACAACACCAAGAGAGATACCATATATCATTTATCATATATATATATATATATATAATGTAAACCAAGAAAGAGATACCATCGTACCATTACTGTCATTATATATATATATATATATATATATATTATGTAACACTCACACATGCATATATAGAGAATACTGACGTACTTTGCAATGGGGTGCCACTGACATTCTTAACATTTTCTACCTACAACAGATACCTAAAAATGAGAAAATACTTTTTACTTGCACACACGGATTTTTGAGAGATATTCATTCCAATTCATTTCATTACTGCCAGTACAGGGGTTAATTATTTTCTTAAAAAAATTATTTCGTTCATTTTTCTGTTCTCTCTATTCTTTAGAATTGTTTCAGAGTTACAAACTAAGTAGAGTTATAAAAGACATGTTTTACTATTATCTGAAAATAGTTTTATGTACTCTTTATTCTTCAGAATAGTTTTAGAGTTACAAACTAAGTAGAGTTATAAAATGACATGTTTTTAGATATAGT